CTGTGTGGATCACAACAAATTATGGCAGGTCCTTAAAGAGATGGGAGTACCAGACCACCTCACATGTCTCTTGAGAAACCTGTATAAGGGTCAAGAAGCGACAGTTAGAACTGGATATGGAACAACTGATTGGTTTAGCATAGGAAAAGGAGTACGACAAGGATGTATATTGTCGCCTTGCTTATTTAATATATATGCAGAGTACATCATGCGAAATGCTGGCCTGGATGAATCACAAGCGGGAATTAAGATTGCTGGGGAAAAGATCAACAACCTCAGATATGCAGACGATACCACTCTAATGGCAGAAAGTGAAGAGGACCTAAAGAGCCTCTTGCTCAGGGTAAAAGAGGAGAGCGCAAAAGTGGGCTTGAAGCTCAACATCAAAAAAACTAAGATCATGGCATCCGGCCCCATCACTCCTTGGAAAATAGAAGGGGAAGTCGTGGAAGTAGTGACAGACTTGACGTTCCTGGGATCCCAGATAACCGCAGACTGTGACAGCAGCCATGAAATTAAAAGACGCCTGCTCCTTGGGAGGAAAGTGATGGCGAACCTAAACAGCATGATAAAAAGTAGAGACATCACCCTGCCAACAAAAGTCCGCATGGTCAAAGCAATGGTATTCCCAGTAGTCATGTATGGCTGCGAGAGTTGGACTATAAGGAAGGCTGAGCGCCGAAGAATAGATTCTTTTGAACTATGGTGCTGGAGAAGACTCTTGAGAGTCCCTTGGACTGCAAGAAGATCAAATCAGTCGATCCTAAAAGAAATCAACCCTGACTGTTCCCTGGAAGGCCAGATAATGAAACTCAAATACTTTGGCCACCAAATGAGAAGGGAGCACTCACTGGAGAAGATCCTGATGCGGGGAAAGATTGAAGGTCAAAGACGGGGACGGCAAAGGATGGGATGGTTAGACAGTGTCATAGATGCAACGAACATAAAATTGAGCAAACTTTAGAGGATGGTGGAAAACAGGAGGGCCTGGCGAGATCTTGTCCATGGGGTCACGAAGAGTCGGACTCAACTGTGCGACTGAACAACAAAAATGCTTTCATGTTTCCTGCTCTGAAGTCACACCCTCTTCGAGTCAAGTTTAGTGGAGACTGTCATTCATCACACATTTTCCAAATTACCTTTCCTTCTCGCCGTCTCCATTAATGTATCAGAGCAATTTCAAATCAACTGAATGTTTCAGCATATGTATTTCAAAGCCTAGAAAGAGATCAGAACAAATCCCTTGTGAAAACGAGGTACTGTGATAAGCTACAGTACAGAAAATTAAAATGGAAAAAAGTCAAGAGAGAGTCCAACTTTCTCAACCAGTGCTTTCTAGCAGGAGGCATAGTCTGACACATTTATTACATATATGTTCCTCCAAAACATTAAAACCATCCTGATCTCAAGGTGCTTAAGGAAAAGAGCAAAAACTACTGATATTTTGAAGCAGGCATGTTCTCAATCTGAGTTCCTGAAACTCAGTTTGCTTTTTTGTTTCCTGTTCTTCATCACCCATTTTCCAAATTACCTTTCCTGCTCACTATCTCCATTAATGTATCAGAGCAATTTCTGATCAACTGACATTTTCAGCATATGTATTTTAAAGCCTAGAAAGAGGCCAGAACAAATCCCTTGTGAAAACAGAGGAACTTTGATAAGCTACAGTACAGAAATTTAAAATGGAAAAAGTGCAGGGAGAGAAGTCCAACGTTATCAGCCAGTGCTTTCTAGCAATTTCTTTCTTTAAAAGTCAGTATAGGAACTTTAGTAAATTTGATAAGTGTAATTTTCATTCTTAAAAAAAAACCCCACTGGTAATAACTAAACAAGTACTATTGGCTAAAAACATGAAAACAATATGGGTCTTTAAGTCAAGGAATCCAGTTTGCTGCGACTCCAGTATTTGTCTACAAAGGGGGAGGAGTGTTTACTGTTTCCCCCCACCCAATGGACTCAAGGCAATTCACAAGAATTCCATAGGGAAATGCACCTCTTACAGAGACAGAACTTCAGCCTAACAAGCCCTCTCGACTCGTCTACATAGCCTGACCGCGGCTGTCCAGGGTCTCGTACTACCTCCTCCTTTTAACTGGAGATTGAACGTTGATGCTTTCCTGCTTAGCCCTGGCGCCTCCCCAGCAGGTCACGGCACTTGAGTGTTATTCTTCGGGGCGCCTCTTTCAGTAAGAGCAGCAAAGGAGGAGAGAGCCCAGCCCAACACCACCCACTCCCTCCCAACTTCTTCCAGCTGCATGGGAACCGGTCAGGTGTCCAGTATAATCGGGTGGGATGGCGGAAAGCCCGGCAAGGCGTGCTCCAAGCGGAGACAGTCTGTCCCTCTGGGAGTGAAGTGACTGGGAGAGAATGGAGAATCCGCCAGCCTGCCTGTTCCCTCCCACCCTCCTTGCCTTCCCTGCCCTGCCCACGCTGGTTAGTTGGGCAGGAGACACAAACTGGTTACCTTCGCCCTTGCCCCAGGATGCGGCAGCACAGCGTCTTATTAGCCAAAAGGTGATTTAATGGTGATGTTGGGGTGATTTAATGGTGATGTTGGGGTGACCCAACACAAAAACCTTGAGGATCCATGAGGATCCGTGCTTTGGAATCATGTTTTTGCAGCATTGTGAATTCTATGGTGCAGGCTGTGGCCATGGACATGATATGGGATTTAATGGTATGTTTGGGATGTCCCAACACAAAATCCCCAAGGATCCATAAGGATCCGTGCTTTAGAATCATGGTTTTGCAGAATGGATTCACCATGAAGCTGTGGATCTGTGATTTTTGTGGTGCAAGTTGTGGCCGTGGATGTGCTATGTGATTTCATGGTGTGTTTGGGGTGACCCAATTGAAAAACCGTGTGGATCCACGAGGATCCGTGCTTTGGAACCATGTTTTTGTAGAATGGTGTCACCACAGAGCTGTGGACATATGATTTCTGTGGTGCATTCTGTGGCCATGGACAAGGCATATTATTTGATGGTGATGTTGGGGTGACACAATGCAAAAATCATAAGGATCCATTCTTCAGAACCAGGTTTTTGCAGCATGGTGTTGCCTCAGAGCCATGGCACCGTGATTTCTGTGGTGCGGGCTGTGGTCATGGACATGATATGGGATTTAATGGTATGTTTGGGGTGTCCCAACACAAAAAACCCAAGCATCCATGAGGACCCATGCTTCAGAATCATGTTTTTACAGAATGGTGTCACCACAAAGCCGTGGATCTGTGATTTTTGTGGTGCCCCTTGTAGACTAACACATGGCCTACAATATGGTGGTGGTTTTATCGTTTCAGGGTAAAAATCATATGAATTCATGAGGATCTGTCCTTTGGAATCATGTTTTTGTGCTGCTGTGGTGCCACGAATCTGTGGGTGCCTGATTTTTGTGGTGCCCCTTGTAGACTAACACATGGCCTACAATATGGTGGTGGTTTTATCGTTTCAGGGTAAAAATCATATGAATTCATGAGGATCTGTCCTTTGGAATCATGTTTTTGTGCTGCTGTGGTGCCACGAATCTGTGGGTGCCTGATTTTTGTGGTGCCCCTTGTAGACTAACACATGGCCTACAATATGGTGGTGGTTTTATCGTTTCAGGGTAAAAATCATATGAATTCATGAGGATCCATTTAGATCCGACTTTTACCCAGACCCTGGCAATTGCATGCTATAAAACAGAGCTGCAGCTCTGGAGTCCTGTCTTGCTCAAATCACAAATAAAGTTGAGCTGATCACTAGACTCGAGCCTGATCATCCATGGAACCCACTATTTAACAAAAACTAAGCTGCGGTGGCTCAAGTGGTTAAGACGCTGAATGGCAGGCTGTGGAAGGTCAGTAGTTCAGCAGTTCGAGACCCGGGTGCCGCATGACGGAGTGAGCTCCTGTCTCTAGCTCCTGCCAACCTAGCAGTTCGAAAGCAAGAAATTGCAAGTAGATAAATAGGTACCACTTCGGTGGGAAGGTAACAGCGTTCCGTGCGCCTTGGTGTTTAGTCATGCCGGCCACATGACCACGGAAACATCTTCGGACAGCGCTGGCTCTTCGGCTTTGAAACGGAGATGAGCACCGCAACCCTAGAGTCGGATTGGACTGGCTTTCGAGCAAGGGAACCTTTACCTTTACCTTAAACTGTACCAGACCATACAGGGTTAGCTCGAAGGCCAATAAGAACTTGGACGGAAGATCGGGTATCTTGGAAGGAAGATCCGGTATTGACTTCATAGGCTGGGAAACCAGGAATCTCCTACCGGAAAATCTTCCTTATATGTTTCCAAACGTTACGTGCTTTCTTTCCCCTGAAATCCAAGAGGCACTTTCTAAATGTAACTCAAACTGAAGCAGTGGCAACAACAACTTAAAAAAACAAACCAACCACCTGAAGACACGAGGATCAATAGGGCTTAGACCCAAAACGCCGAGCCAAGCCCGTCAGACACAGGCTGCGGCTATTCAAAAGATGTGCGGCCGGTGATTGCTACAAGTCACGAGGCAATCCCATTATTTTTCGTACTGCGTTTGTCCGCAGCACAGGGCTGAAATAAAACCATGACTTCTCCGTTGCACACGGGAACTTTCTCGCTGCGTCTTGGTCGTTGCTCGGGGGAAGGTGTTCCGTGTTGCGCCGTCCGGGCTGCGGAGCATTATGGGGGGCCGTGTTTGAAACCCGTCGCCCCCCCCCTTCTTTCCCACCCTCCTCCCTTTTTCGGCGGGTTCTGTTAAAAATGGTGCCCTGAATAACGGGCCGGGCGGGAAGGCTGGGAGAAATAAGCGCTGCCCTCCCCACCCCCAAGAGGGTCGGGTGGCCGTCGGCGAGGGCTCCTCCCTCCCTCGCTCTCCCTCCTTCCCTCCCCCCCCCCCTCCATTTGCGCCGATGGCGAGTCCGGATCAGAAATCCCCCAACGTCCTGCTGCAGACGCTGTGCTGCCGCATCCTGGGCAAGGGCGAAGGTAACCTGTTTGTGTCTGCTCCTGCCCAGTTCACCCAGCACGGGCAGGCAGGAGGCGGGGAGGGAAAGGCGGGCAGGCAGGCAGGCAGGCGGGCGGGTTCTCCATTCTCTCCCTGTCTCTTCATTCCAGGGGGTGGGGAGGGAAGGGGGATACCGACTCCAGTCAGACTCTCCGCCTCTTGGAGCAATGCAGGCGCGGCATGCCGGGCTTTGCCCCACCCCACAGGGTTGCCAGGTCCTTCCTGGCCACCCGCGGGGGATTGGGGGGTGGGGAAGAGTTGCCAGATCTGGATTGGGAAATTCCTGGAGATTTGGGAATGGAGCCTGGGAAAGACAGGGACCTCAGTGAGGTACAATGCCATAGAGTCCACCCTCCAAATGATCCATTTTCTCCAGGGCAACTGATCTCTGTAGTGTGGAGATGAGCTGTAATTCCAGGGGAACCCCAGGTCCCACCTGGAGGCTGGGACCGCCTGTCCAGTTCCTGGGCAGGGGGAACAAGTTGGGAGAGAGTGGGTCGTGCTGGGTTCTTTACACTCCTGCCCTTGCCGAAAGAGGTGCCCCAAAGAACAAGAAGTGCCAGGACCAGTGTTCCCTCTAAGCTGAGTTAATGTGAGCCAGCTCACAGTTTTTTAGCCTCCGGCTCACACATTTTTGTCTTGGCTCAGGAAGGAGGGCTCCAGAGCAAACTGATTTATGCAGCAGCCAAATCACTCGCTCACAACTTTAATGCCAGTAGCTCACAAGGTAGAATTTTTGCTCACAAGACTCCACAGCTTAGAGGGAGCATTGGCCAGGACTGTTATTTTGTTAGAGAACCTAGCAGTTCGAAAGCAAGAAATTGCAAGTAGATAAATAGGTACCACTTCGGTGGGAAGGTAACAGCATTCCATACGCCTCGGTGTTTACTCATGCTGGCCACATGACCACGGGAATGTCTTTGGACAGTGCTGGCTCTTCGGCTTGGAAACGGAGATGAGCACTGCATCCCTAGAGTCGGATTCGACTGGCTTTCGAGCAAGGGAAACCTTTACCTTTTACCTTTATGGGGAGCATCTGCATGTTGAAAGCACCCAGGTTCAATCTCCTGTTAAAAGGAGCAGGTAGCAGGCTATGTGAAAGGTATCTGCCCAGAGATCCTGGACAGCAGCTGCCAGTCTATGTAGACTAGGCAGTCTGTGTAGACTATTGATAGGCCCATGGTCTTGTCTCTGACTTTGGAGATGGGGATGTGGGAACTACAGGTTCAAATTCCTACCCCACTCCATTGTTGGGCAAGTCCTGGTACCTCAGCCTTGCATACTGAATAGAGTTGCACATGATGTAAATAAACAGGTACAGCATGTAGCATAGCACCTCTGAAGAAGTGGCACATCTGTGATCAGCAAGGAGAGAAACACTGCATGTTTCTATGTATACAGTGAGTACAGGCCTGGTCAGCTACTCAGCAACCTCCCTGTAGGGAGGCTGCTAAAAAAAAAATACTAAAAATTTCTCACGCTTTTGAACGAAGGAAAATGATGACATTTTGTTGTGACCCAAAATATGAGTGTTGTAATAATGTTTGAGTCACGGGAGGTCAGAAGAATGTCAAAATATTGAACCAAATGTCATACCATTTATAAGACGTTGGTCAGTCATAGTATTCACTACAGTTTCTAATAAGTCTACAAGATCTACTTTATAGATACTTGGATTGGTTGTTCTTAATATGTTTTACCAGAATATAACTTTATACCTGTGTATGTAAATTTTCACTTAAACTCATCACCTGTAAGGAACCTCTCTTATCATCTGTTATTTGTAACTACTGTTCTGTCTCATACCCCAGTGGCCCTGAGGGAGGGTGAACTTGGTCTCCCCTCAGTCAGGGCTTGTGTGCATGTCACTTTGATTAGTGGTTTGAACAAGGAGAGGAATACTTCAACCAGCTGACTCTCCAAGGCAAAGCCTTACCCTGCTGCTCACTATCAGATCTCCATCATTATTTCTTACCAGCTCATTCCCACGGCATCTCTCCACATAACTCCAAACCTTGTGACTATGTATTTAGTTTGGAGCCCTGACCTGGATGGCCCAGTCGCTTCAGGTCTCAGAAGCTAAGCAAGATTGCACCTGGTTAGTACTGGGATGGGAGACCACCAAGGAAGTCCAGGGTCTCTGTGCAGAGGCAGGCAAACTGCTTCTGAATGTCTCTAAGGCGTTGTCAGAAGTTGGCTACAATTTGACAGCACTTACCACCACCATTCAGTTTAGATGCCTCATTTGACAGGGGTGTCTTGTTGTTGTTCAGTCGCACAGGCCTTCCGGTCTTCCGCCATCCTCTGAAGTTTGCTCAACTTCATGTTTGTTGCATCTATGACACTGTCTAACCATCTCATCCTTTGCCGTCCCCGTCTTCTTTGACCTTCAATCTTTCCCAGCATCAGGGTCTTCTCCAGTGAGTGCTCCCTTCTCATTTGGTGGCCAAAGTATTTGAGCTTCAGTTTCAGTATCTGGCCTTCCAGGGAACAGTCAGAGTTGATTTCTTTTAGGATTGACTGATTTGATCTTCTTGCAGTCCAAGGGCCTCTCAAGAGTCTTCTCCAGCACCACAGTTCAAAAGAATCTATTCTTTGGTGTCTTACCTATTGTCACGGCAGGACCAGGGGGCGTGATGCAAGCAAGCAAAAGTCCAGGAGCAGTCCGAGGTCAAGCCGAGCAAATCAGGAAGCAAGGTTCAAACAGGTTTAAATCACAGTCCAAAAGCAGGGTCAGACATACTAGAGTTCAAGTCCATAAATCACAACGATACCAGAGGAGTCAGAGATGAACGCAGGGTCAACGAAGCCGAGGGTCAAAAGCCGAGGATCAAGCCGATAAGAATTCCACAAGGTCTGGAGCAGAGATACAAGGATTCAGGTCCTGACAAAAGACGTTTGCCAGCACAAATGACTGCTGGCAACAGACTTGCAGATATACAGTGCTAGCTAATCAACTCTTTAGCTAGCCTGGAGCGAGGTCAGGATCCTGTCAATACTCAGGGCTAAGAGATCTTCTGGCACGCATGCGTGCATTCTGCCTTCGCTCTCTCAGCTGCTGTCTCCTTACATTCCGGAGCCTGGTTACAGGTGGAGGTGAGTCTGATGATGATGAATTACTGAGCTGCAGCAGAGACTGATCCCTTGCAGGTGTTCCCTAGGAGGCTCTATCCTCCTCACCACTTAGATAGCTTTCAGCTACAGGATCCAGTCTTTGCCTCTCTGCTGCAGTACTGTCCACAGGCTCCTGGCTGGCAGGTGCCTCCTCAGGGGCATCAGCAAGGGCAGGCATGACACCTATCTCCAAATTTGTGCTATGGTCTGGATTGCTCAGAAGGCGCCATAGCAGAGCTCCCTACCTTTTTAATATCACCTTCCTTAAACTTGGGGTTGCTTTCCCTGCTATTCATTTTCAGACTATGCCAACATCCATATTCCTGGGTCACTACATTCAAAAACCTTTTGCTGAGCACCTGTGTCTCAGTGGAGCCTTAGAATCAGAGGACCTTCCACATTATGTTTTGTTCTGCTCTCTTTACATGGAGCTGTAGTCCACATTTCTTACAGCTTCCTCGTCTAGCCTTGATCTGAGTTTGGTGGTGGAGAAAATTATTTCCTTCTAGCTGATACAGACCCATGTGGCATCCATGTGGTTTCATTGTACGCTTTGGCGGGCATGAAAATTCAAGCCGGAGCTGTGCTTGCTGTAGCTTGATCTGTATGTTTGTTATGGCTGCTGTTTCTGTTTTGGGGGGGGGGGGCTAGGAAATTTCATCTTTGTTTTTCTTAATTTTTATCTAACTTGTTTTTGTTGTTATTGCGTTTTATGTCTGCTCAATTTTATCTAAGATTGTAGTGGTCTTTGGCCATTTGCAATAAGCTGCTACTGCTATTCTGTCTCAGACTCACAGAATGCTCACACTCTGAAGCTTGATGACTGGATTTACACTTACATTTCTACTCCCCTCCCCACAGATTTACACTTGAAAGGGTCATGACAAAGTTCACTCTCTGCCTTAACTCCTCCTTCCTCCCCTCTTGTAATCTTCCCACTTAAGCAGGATCTCCACAAATCTGAAGAAGTGAGCTGTGACTCATGAAAGCTCATATATTAAAAAATTTTTGCTAGTGTGTTTGGTGCCACTGGACTTCTATTTTATTTAGCCAAATACTGTTACAGCAGGGTTTGGCCTGCCTATTCGGTACAGCAAGGCAATGGGTGCTGTCCAACCGTCAAACTTCAAAGTACCAGAAGTGCCAAAACCAGATCTGTTGCTGCCCCACCCACCTACACATGGTACTGGGTCTGCTGTGGCAAGCGACAGCCAAGGCGGTGACCCAGCCAAGTGAGCCTGTTCCTTTCCCCCCTCCGTTTGTGGGAAAGCTGACGTCCTCCTTTCCTCCCCCTTCCATTGGGCAAGCAGGGTCCTTTTCAGGGCTGTTTTTGCCTCCCATCCTGCTCCTGTTGAGAGTCATAGTAGCACGGCAAACTGCAGCCCCAACACCAGTGAGGGTGGCTTGAGTAAAGACAGCTTACCCACAGTGTGTGTGTGTGTGGGGGGGAGCAATCGATTCCCCATGTTGGGTAAAGTAGGGTAGGCAGTGGCTTCCCTGCGTTTGGGGGGGGGGCAGAGTAATTTGCCTAGGGCACCAGAAATCTTAGGGCCCCTTGTTTGTTATGGAATTCTATTCCTCTTGCTCATAAGGAGCAGTGTCAACTAATGGGATCATCTAGTACAATATTTTGTGTTTAAGAATATGTTTCTCCTTGGGAATGCTGATACAGTTTTCTCTTATTTATCATAGCTTTGTCCTGGACTTCAAGTGTTCTAAATGCAGCGCTTTCATATATCGCTTTACCTCTCCTATGACAAAACTTTATTTTAAAATACAAATGTATAAGAAGTTTTTTCCTCTTTACATTTGGGTAAAGAAAATATGGTAAGCAACCTTAGCAGTGCTTCTTGTACCAGTTAAGTTGTATGGGCCATTTTGTACCAACTGGAGTTGGCTTCAAGGGCAGACTTCTGTAGAGTGCCTTGCAGTAGTCTAGCCTCAGTATGACTGTGGCATGAAGGTGGTCAGATCGACAGAGTCTAGGTATAGGGCAGTCTTCCAAGCTAGTGTGAGTGGAAGAAAGCATTTTTGGCAGCTGCATTAACTTGTTTTTTCAACAGCAATGTTGGATCTATGATTTCTAGGCCCTTAACCCAGTCATTAAGGGTCAGCTGAAATCCATTAAAGTGGGAAGTACAGTGTTCTTCATGACCTCAGTCTGTCCAACCAGTATTACCTCCATCTTGTCAGCATTCAGTATCAATTTGCTCACTCTTAGCTATTTAACCGCAGTGGACAGGCAATGGCTCAAGACCTTTACCACATCACCAGGAGATTTGGATTGAGAGATACAGAGCTGGGTGTTGCATCTAATTCCAGAATGATGAATGATTTCTCATAAAGGCTTTACTTACAAGTTGAAACCATGGGGGATAAGATAGCATTCTGTGGAACCCTACAGTGACAGGACTAATCCTACCTTAATGATAACTGGTCTCCAATGACAATTCTTTGAGTCTGGTCTGTAAGGAATGGTTTAACCAATCTAGAGTACAATGAATAGAGTACCTACTTTGTCTAAAGACTTCTCAATAAGATAGCATAGTTTACTGCCTCAAAGGCTGCAGTTTAACCCAGAAGGAGCAACAAAACCCTGACCTGGATAGCCCAGGCAAGCCCGATCCCGTCAGATCTCGGAAGCTAAGTGGGGCCAACCCTGGCAAAGAGTATCAGCGCCAGGAGGCAGAGGCAGGCTATCAAGCCACTTCTCTGAATGTCCTCTGTGCCCCAGTAGGAGTCATCAGAGGTCACTATGACTTCCAGGCATGGGCGTACGCACACACACACACACACATGCAACCCCCCCAATAATACAAATAACAGAAGGAGCAGCAAAGAGGCATGGCCATTGTCTACATTCAGATGGAGATCATCAGCTAAAGCCACCAGTGCCATCTCTGTTCCATAGCCCAGCCTGAAAGCAAAATGAAAAGGGTCTACAACAGATGAGTTATCCAAGAAGGACTGGAGCCGTTCTGCCACTTCTCTCTCAGTCACCTTGCACAGAAAAGGCAGATTAGGGAGAGCGTGATGATTGGCCACATTGTTTTCTTGTAGAGATGGGTTTTTTTAGTAGTGTACAGAGAACTGCCTCTTTGGGTGTTGAAGAGAAGGTGCCCTGAGTCAGTGATTGATTTATGATGGATATAAATGACTTCTTAACAAGGTCCTTACACAATTTCAGCAATCAGAAAGGACAGTGATCCAGCGCACTGGATTTAGATAACTTAGTTTAAAACATCTTCAGATTCAGAGTAATATGCTTATTATGTATAACGATCATTGCATTATTTAAACTAAAAGTAATTTTTTTTGCTAAAACAGTCCACAGTTTGGGACAATAGGTGAATTTCTGGAAGGCCAACAGGAATGAAAGGAGGTGTAGACCTCCTTTTTTGCTATACTACATGGAAATATTTTATCCAGGCTTGTATGTACAGCAAAATAACAGGCACCTTATGTATTTACAAAATTTGTATTCTGCCTTTTTTGCACTTACAATTTAAAACATGCATGATAAAAATCACATTTTAAAGCCATTAAAATCACCTCCCCACCATACATCATTGAAACAATAAAAAAAAAAAACAGTTTAAAAACAGAGTCATAAAAATTTTGGCTAAGAAGGAGGGATTCATTTAGGGAATGCCAAATGAAGCAAAAAATAAAATAAAATTCACCCAGTGGTATAAGATGGCAATGGAAGGGGACAGAGGAGGCTCCCTGGGGAGAGAGTTCCAGAGCTTTGGTGCCATGACCAAGTAGGCCCTCTCTCGCTTTGCCACCTGCCTGATCTTAGAAGATGGGGGCATCCCCCTCCCATCATCTGTGCTTTCAATGGTTCTGTTTGATAGTGTAAGGCCCCGGTCACACTAGGGGGAAAGGCACGGCTGAAGTGCGGCTTTTTAGAGCCGCATCAAAAGAGAAGCGCAGCTGCGGGATCAGACAGATCCCCCTAGCTGCCGCGCAGTTCCTCCCCTGCATGATCGTATGCCGGGGGGAAGCCACGGACCGGAGAGCGAGGCGAGCCCACTGCGCATGCGTGTGTATGCGCAGTTCGGCAGGACCTCGCATGCTGCGGGAGAGACGGGCGCGTCGGCGATCAGATGCCTGCCTGTGCTGCGCGGCAACCGGTAGGTAGTGCTATTTTGCTACTACCTTTTTGAGCCGCATCTTCGCCTGGAAGGGACGGATCAGGGACGGGTGAGCGCAGCTTCCCAGATGTTGCAGTATGATTGCGTCCGCTTGATGCGCCCCCGATCCGTCCCTCCTGTGGGGCAAATCCTTCCATGTGACCGGGGCCCAAGTATGGTATCAGTGGTTATGCTGCCAGCAGTGCTCGTGGACTGATATTTACCACCTGGTATCTGGTATGTTCTGGTTTTTTCCAGTGGCTGAGTTCTGAGTGACAAATATCCCAAACTGTACTTTCCTTTCCTTTCACACTTGTTTAAGGTAGGACCAATCATTCAGATGCCTATAAAGGGAATTAAAACGTCTGCAGCTCTCTTTTACCTTCTGAGGTTATTCAGTACTTATTTCTCAAATGTATATCCATTGCACCCATCCACATAGAAGAATTGGGCAAAACTTATGACTTTCATGCTGGTCTGTTGTAAGTGCAACACTCTGATGTATGTATTTGTCTTTGTTTGTTAAAAATTAATGTTGTAAATAAATAACCTGTTGTTATTAAATGTTAAATTTAATTGTGATTTCTGTTTCAGCTGATGTAGCCCAACAGTTTCAGTATGCAGTGCGAGTCATTGGAAGCAACTTTGCCCCTACTGTTGAGAGAGATGAATTTCTAGTAGCAGAAAAAATTAAAAAAGAGCGTAAGTTTTCTGTCTGTGTTCCTTGTTGCTTGAAACATTTGTCAAGGATGGTTTAGGCTGATCCTGCACTGAGCAGGGTGTTGGACTAGATGGCCTGTATGGCCCCTTCCAACTCTATGATTCTATGATTTTGGTCCCTTGTGGATAGATCAGGTACAATATAAATCTCATCAGTGCATGTTATTGTTAGTTATTATTATAATATGTAATTTGGGTATTTTTTTGCTTCTGTATATGTTCTGCTAACAACATCTCTGCCAGATGATATTATTAGGAAAAGGGGGAGAAGAAATAGTTTAATAGAGAATGTATTATATTTTGTCTGATCCAGTTTCTAGTCCTTATGGTAGTATGGATAGAAGAAACATGATAACCCTTGTAGCAAAGTTCTAGTAGCCTTTTTGTAGTTTCTGGGTTGTATTCCACTTAGTTTGGCTAAATGCAGACATGTTCTTCAGCATGAAGACCCTCTTGAACCAGAGGAGGGTTTCTAGTGATAGAAGAAGGCTTAGTAGAGCTAAGCAGTAGAACACAACCCTAAGGAGAGTTAACACCCTTCTAAGTCCATTGAAGTCAGTGGACATAGATGGATGTAACTTTGCTTAGGTTTGCACTGCAAGTGTGGAAGTTAACTGCCAGAAGCAGTGGCAAATAATGAGGAAAGGAGCAATAAGAATGAAAGATGGTCAGAAATTGTATACATGATTGAAGGAAGCTTGGGTGCATTAGTCATTGATTGTTTTGGGATGGGGAGTGTATCAGGAGGCAGATTTCGAGACCAAAATTATTTTTTTAAAATTCCATCTCACATAATGTCCTGCCTGCTTAGTAACTAAGACTGTTAATAGGGTGAATGGTAAACAGTACCCCAGCTAAGGAACACAAGACCGAGCAAGCCACTGTGAACTGCTTCAAATGGGGCGGGGATAGCCTTATTCAAGTTCTGCTTGTATTTCACAGTTCAAAGTGAACTGGGCTGCAGTTAAGCCATTGTGGAAATTCAGTTGATGCTTGGAGGGGCCAAAGGAAAGGCTCTGGCTTTTTTGTCAGTTACAGGTGTGTGTGTGTGTGTGTGTGTGTGTGTGTGTGTGTGGGCTGATCACTAAAGAACTCAAAACATTATCTTTAGTGTATTCCAAGCTATACTTTCTCCTGTGTTTCTCTACTGAAAAGTTTGGATTGCGATTGAAAGTCCTTCCCTTTTGAAAATACTTCTTTTCTCTTGCTTCCTTCGTATTCTGACCCTGGAAACATTGGTTCACTAGTATCAAATACACTTGCTCTGACCTTGGCATCAGCTGAATTCCTTTTCGCACAATGTCAAAAAATAAAAGTCGCCAAAGCGTGCTGGAAAATTTCAGCTTAGTGTAATGAGATGTAGAAATAGTTATCTGACAAGATAACTCCAGCTACAGTTGTCTCCAAGCTAAGGCAACAATTGGATACTTGCCATGGCCTAGAGGCAGAACTTTTGCTTCCTCTTTGGGCAGATGTTGGTAAACTATTCCCTCTCCATGATGACTGCCCAGTTAGTGACCAAACAACCTCTCAGCAAAGCAATGAATACTATTTTTTGGCAAAGGGAAGATCTAATCTAATATGCCAATGCAGGATAGTGGACAAAACTGAGCATAATACTTGATTTAAATTTTAATATTCCGTATGCTCATGATGGTTCTAATATGCCTTTGTCTTTACAGTTGTGCGGCAAGGAAGGGAAGAAAGTGCTGCTTTGTTTTCAGAGCTTTACAGAAAACTCTACTCACAGGTACAGGATTAAGTAGGAGATGAGTTGCTTTCTGAAGTGGGATGAACTGAATATTGAGTAGTGTGATTTTTGTCAGAATGAGTTTCATAGAAATATTTTTGGGTTTGTTCCTATCTGACGTGCAAGATATTAAAAATGTATATTGGATGTTAGGATCCTGCCTGGTCCCTAAAATCTTAAAATCTTCCATCACTGTTGATATGGTTCTATCAGAGCTGACACGGTACTTAGGAGTATGGTATTTTATACTTTTGTTTTAATCTGGTTTTAACTGTGTTGTATTTTACACTGTTGTTGCCTGCCCTGAGCCCGCCCGCGGGGAGGGCGGGATATAAATCCAAATAAATAAATAAATAGAAATGAAAATAAAATAGCATTGTAAGAGTATAGTTTGCTTAATTACTTTTAACAGGAAGGATATTGATCAGCAAAAAAAGTGTTAAACTTACCTAACTGCTGTTTATTTTAAAGACAATGTGTATTGATTATTTATCATATGTTCTGTTGGCTTCTTAAGTGATCTAATACAAGTGTCTTGTGGCAGGGCATCTTGAAAAACAGATGGTCAATCCTCTACCTCCTGCTCAGCCTCAGTGAAGATCCACGTAAGCCATCAAGCAAGGTAGGTCGTTCACTCTGTTGGCCTCTTAAGTGATCACTAGAACCCAGAATTGGTCAAGTGCAAAGTTGGAAAGTTAGGATTCTGTTAAATCTTAGTAAGACTATTTGAAATATCTTTAGAAAGATTAGGAATGGTTTTGAAATATCAAATGTGGATTTTGTATTCTATTACACTTAGTTGTAGGTATGTAGTAAATAAACGGCAGTAACAGCCAACGGTGAAAGGATGTTTAGACTTATTTAATCTATGGAATCTGTTAAAACATGTCTTTTTTTTCCCCCCTTCAAGGTTTCAAATTTTGCTGCCCTGTTTGCTCAAGCACTGCCACGAGATGCTCATTCGACTCCATACTACTATGCCAGGCCTCAGACCCTTCCGTTGAATTATCAAGACCGAAATGCCCAGCCTGGCCAAAGTTCTGGCAGTATGGGGAGCAGTGGGATCAGCAGCATAGGCATGTATGCCCCAAATGGGCCTACTCCAACTCCACAATCACTTCTTCCAGGGTAAATGAGACTTGATCATCTTGCAGATAATTCTTTGGAGAAGTCCTGCTCCCATAAACACAGTATCCAACCATCCAGAAACATTGTGGACCAAGACTTCTGCTTCTCTTTCTTGGTACAGTCCACTAATTCCCCACTAGTTTTGATCTTGGGGGGCCATGGCACCCTGAAGAGTAGCATTGGGGGTAAAATGGGGATCTACAGTAGAAGGGAGGAATTGGCAGACATTGCTGCCCTCTCTTCAGCAAATGGAAATGGTGTTCCATCAGAGAAACTGGATGGTTGGATACATGCCATAAAACCCACAGATCTTTGTTGAATGTAGCTGTCCTTGAAGTTTGTTACTAAGAGATGTTGGTGTTACTATTATTGAATAATTTTAAGGCCTCATAATGATTCCATAATAGTCCTCTCAGATAATCCTGTGTCTCCATCCACTGGGCTAATCTGATCTTCTCTGCAAGAGACCAGAAAGACTTTTGTAGTCATATATTCTGTTGGTAAAATATTATGCCAAATTTAATCTGACAAAACTCTTGGTCAGAACATAAACAAATAACTGACTATAGCTACACTTAAAGCAAATTGGTAGTTCCTTTTTTGTATGACCAGACTTGTATCTCTCCATGGGACCTGAAAATGGATACTGTCTCTATGATGTGAACTCTGTTTAAGGCTGTGGCTACAATATACCACTAGAGGAGTCAACACCTACAAAGTATTCCTGGTGGTTATGGTTTCCACCTAAAGATTTTCAGAACTTGGAATGCTGTCAGTCAATCAAGGCTTACGTGCCTTCCCTAATAACAAAACGATGTTGATTCTGAGCTTTCAAACCTGGTTAACTCATTAGTACTGCAGAGGTGGCTTTTTTCATATCTGTGTATCAACTTCTGAACATGGCCCTAGAAGGAAGACCAAAAAATCACAACAATGGGGGGTAATGAATGGGGGGGGAGGTATCTTTCTGCAAACTGGGGGAGCCTTGAGGCTTGCAGAAAATCTGAAAATGGGGAAAAAAGATGAGCCTTCTAGTGATTCCCAAAACCAAAATGTGCTAGGGGAGAACCCAAGATCTTGTGATGCAATGTGGCAAGATCTCAGTTGCTGTTATGATGGTTGCTTATCATCCCAAAAGGAAAATGGATGACAAAGGAAATTCACTACTGCTATCAGATGAAATAGTTTATATTATGGAAGGTATTTCAGGCAATATTTAGGGCATCAGTGATTAACACTTTTTCATATATATTCTTGATGTACCATCATTCCAGCATCCAAATTTCTTCTGTAGAATTGTCAAGAAATATAATATGTTCAATATTTTAATTTCTTTTTTTCCAGAAATGCTTGTTTTTGATTTCTGGTATTCATGGAGGTAAAATGTGGCTTGCCCTTGATGCTTTTATCTTTTCAGGTTAATATAAAGTAATTTCTTGTGCATAGGGACACCTCGGTAGTTGGATTATGTAATTTTCTTTCCACAGACAATCCTACCAACGTGCAGGAGTGGGCGATTGTCTTCGCCAGCAGCTAGGGGCACGGCTTGCCTGGACCTTAACTGCAGGCCAACCCACCTTACAGAACTCTTCCTCGAAAGGTGTTTCAGCAGCTGCTTCCCGTAATGTGCCAAGGACCAGGCGGGAAGGGGATCTAAGTGGTAAGCAAAACAGGTTTCACGGGTTAGGAGCTTCCCCTCCCATTGCCTTTCCTTAGAAAACCTGAAGTCATTCTGTTTAGACAGATCTGCTAATTTCTGTGGGAACAAACTAATTTAAATCCAGGCTATTCTTTGTGGCCCCAAATGGGTGAAATGTTCTGTATCAGCATTAAAAAAAAATTAAATAATAATAATAATAAGAGAAGAGATTGGATTTATACTCCACCCTTCACAGCGGCTTACAAGCTCCTTTCCCTTCCCCTCCCCACAACAGACACCTTGTGAGGTGGGTGGGGCTGAGAGAACTCTGACACAAACTGCTCTTTCAGGAGCAGCTGTGCCAGAGCTTGTGACCCAGGGTCACATCAGCAGGTGCAAGTGGAGGAGTGGGGAATCGAACCCAGTTCTCCCAGATTAGAGTCCGCGCTCCTAACCACTACACCAGACTGGCTCTCTTGGGATGCTGCAGGTTAAGCTGAGCAACAGTGGGTTGAGTAGATAGAGAGGGGAAAGTGGAAAGTTTAAGCAGCCCTTCTACCTTCTGTTCCTTGGCTTAAGTTTGATGCATTCTGAGGCGTTTTTTAAAAACAAAAATAATGGGGTAAAGAAACATGAAGTTATGTGACAGTATTGCTTTAATACTGTAAGTTAGACTTTATTCAGAGTGAGTGAAGCCTTCTGCGATATGACCATTTCAGTGTTGTTAGACTACTCTAACATATCCTGTATGGGGACTGAAGACATTCCAAAACCTACAGCCAGTTCAAAATGTGGTAGGCAGAATATGAATATGGGCTTTCTGCAATAAGCATATAACACCTATTTTGTGTCATTTGTTTTGGCTCCCAGTTTGTTTCTGGGCTCAAAGAAAGTGCTGATTTTTACTTTTAAATCTGTAAATGGCTAAAGGACTGCCTCCACCTATATATACCTTCTGAAGATATGAGGTCATCCCAGGAAGCATACTGGGATGCTTGGTGGGACCCTGTAGGTGGGTTTTCTTCGCAGCTGCTCCTAATCTTGGAACTAACTCCCACCAGGTATTATGTGTGAACCCCATGCTATGGGTCAACTGTCATCAGATTGTTTTGAAAGCCATTTCTAAGATAGGGTCTTATCCTAGTTTTAAATTTCATGCTTGAATTTTATTGTTTTAGATGTGTTTGAATTTTCATTGTAATTATTATGATTTCCTTTGTATTTTGTGGATCAGTAAGATGCCTTGAGTGTTTCTCAAAGTGGAAGTAATATAGCTAAAGTACTTACTAGTGAGGTGTTAAAATAACAAATGTGATTCTGAAGGAAGCCTGCAAGTGACATCCCCTTTCCTCTTTTCAGGATCTGTTGAAATAACGGAAGCATTTCTTGTGAGAGACATTTTGTACGTCTTCCAAGGAATAGATGGCAAAGTCATCAAAATGGTCAACTCTGAAAACTGTTACAAAGTAGATGGAAAGGTACTGGGCAGTGATCTTACACCTGTTTTGTACAGATAGGCCGCATAGAGACAGCTTCTAGAATGCTGTATTTGCAAATCCAGAACTGCAAGATGCCTTTTTAAACAATAAGCACATATCATCCATCACTAGCAATATTAGTGTGTAAGGTGCAAACAGCCTAAAGTAGAAAGCTGAGATGATTTTAGGAGTTGTAGATGTAGACAGGCAACAGAAGACTCCTTCCCATGTAATGGTTTTAAGTGAGGTATTTTTAAGGCATTTTTAAGACAAGTAGGGCACAAATCCTGCCCCTTTGGGGGCAATAATGCTTCCAGGAAATAACAATGAGAAAGAAGAACCAAAAATTTACTCATAATGGAGTGAATGTACAGAAGAGGAAGAGAAGAGTAAAAATTCATTCCTGGCATGGACGTGCCAGATATGGTGGTTAGGATATTGCCTGGGGGGGGGGGGACATAGTAAAAGCTTTCTTATCCAACACTGTATTATTCAGAAATCTCAGGTTACTAGCACACCCAGAGTGCAAGCCCCATTCCTACCTCTTCAGCCGGACAGCTTGATACCTCTAAACATCACTGGGATTGTGACAACTGGCACAGCCAGACAGCATCCTCAGGTGCTTCTTTCCTGCTAAGCTGCAGGGTTCCTAGGTAGCTGGCCTGCTTGTCTGCCTGCTCTGTAAGATTGCTTTGCCGTTTGGGAGGGGGAGGGAAATGTCCCACCAGGCACAGGAGCTATGGTTAGAGTATTCCCAGTGAAGTGGGGTTGGGTGGCTGTGAAGGGTGGACCCAAAAAATATTGGTATTCCTGATATGGCCAAATTCCAATACCAGTATGATATTAAGATTCGGGTTTTCCCAGGAATCTGAATTTTTCGGGTCCATTATACCCTGGGGGGGGATACATCCAGGTTTCTGGAGGGGGGCTGTTTTTCTAGCGACATGCACCAAATTTGCAGCAGAGCAGCTGTTGCCTATCCTCAGAATTTCCCCCATCCATCCTCCATTGTTTTCAATGGGGGGACGACGACAGCCTTTTTTCTCCGGGGCAAAAGCAAAGAGACAGGCCTGCAGCAACCCCTGGTCAGTGCCTCCCATGCCAAGAACAAACACAAGCCCAAAAGAACCAAAGCAGAACCCAGGAATCCATGCAGAACCACAAGTCAGTGTGGCAAGCCCAAAATAACTAATGTCAAACCAGAGAATCTCAACACAACAAACTCAGGCAGGGGGGTACTCTTGCAAGCCCTATATTTAACAGAGAAGCACAGCATCTTTCATCTCCAGCAGAATGAAGAACAGTTTTTGTCCCACTGTTTGAATTTCAGCATGCAGTTTTGGTTTGGGGTGGCTGATGACTTGGTGAGTGAGCTTCTGAGCACCGCTTCCAGTGTCGTCCTGCGCTGCACTGCTACCAGGGTTCCATAGAGACACTTTGATGCTGGTGGACTCAGAGTGGCAGTGGGGATTGGTGGGGTGTTTCTGTGCCAATCAAATTAGGTAATTGCCCTGCTACCTCTTTCTAGCCTCATTTTTATTTTGGGAAGAGTGTTTTGCCCCAAGTTCCCAGCACGGACTGAGAGAGGATACAGGCACGAGCAGGTGTTCACTTAAGTCACCCTCAAAGTTCAGAACCGGGTAGCTGAACACTGGCAAATTGACCTTCAGGAAGACCAGCTGCTCAACTGTCCAGGGGAATAGGTGTGAGCAATCCGAGTGGACAGTGTCACCCTCATGGGAGAAAACACGCTCTCTCTGCATGCTCCTTGGAGGGCATGAGAGGAGCTTCTGGGCCCCAGCAGAGAGGTCTGGCCAGACCACCTCCTTCATGGCCAGTAGCTCAGTGGATTGGTGGGTTACAACTCATAGGGCTCCACAAGGTACTCCCTCACCATTGCAGCCACTGTATCCTGTTTCATGTGCCCCTCGCTCCCAAAGGGGCCAAGTGCCCACCTGGTGATCTCCAAGGTCATTGTGGCAGTTGTCACGGGGGGGGGGGGGGACACTGCCTAGCGGGGGAGGTGGGGGATGAAGAGCAGTGGAGCTGCTTTTACCCCCCTCTTCCTCTGCTTGCACCAGTGCCCCTCTTGGCCTGGATGCACTCAACTCACTGGGAAAGTTCATCTCCCCAGCGAATGAGCTGGTCGGCCTGCTGAGTGATCCTACCCTTGATGTGCGGGTCACACACCGTCACAGACGTGTAGACCTTCTGCTGTGTGAGTGGCTGAAGGTGGGCCTCGAGTCCATCTTGCAGCATTTTCACCAATGTGCATACTGCTTTTTTCCCCTTCACTGTTTATTTTCTAATTTTAAATCAAAACAAAACACAAATACATTTCAACATAATAATTACAGAAAGTCTTCCAGGGTTCCGCTTCCACTTTGATACGAATCATTATTTATATCCTCTTGTATTTTGTAGCCATTTATACGCTTTAACCGAGTATTTCTCGTATTCTTTTTCACTTTTACCCTGAATGGTAAATGTTAATTTTTCTAATTCGGCCACTTCCAATAATTTACATATGAATTAATCTTTCATTGGAATATTTGTATTTTTCTAATACTTTGCTTATAGAATTCTGGCCGCAGCTAATATATGCATAATTAAATAAATTTCATATTTCTTAAATACATCGGGTATTGTATTTAACAAAAAGAATTCTGGCAAGCAACGTGCATACTGCTGGAAGCAAGTCTGCCCATCCTGCAGCTGGCTCCAGAAAGGAGGCCAAGTCCTCACAAGCCATTTGGATCATGGGGATGACCAGAGCTAGACTTACCATGCCAGCAAGAGCAAATGTGTGTGGTTCTTGAAGTGCTTAAGAATCACCATAGTCTGAGGCATGGTCAACCACTTGTCCTGGTTGAGCCGATTCTCTTCCCAAACGACCCTAGTCTCAGAGATCAAGGCAGTCAGTGGTCTCTTCTGCTCCACCAGCTATGAATTGTAGCAAAGCACAAGAGACCGCTGGCTGAAATCACTATAAGGTGAACCAAAAATATATATATAAACATATTATTTAATGCTTAGTTCACTAACACAATAACCATATAACTATATAAAGCCAAGGTAATCTTACGAAAACCAACAGTAGTACAAAAAGGTAAAGATCAGTGGTACAGAGAAGTAAAGTCCCAAAAATTTCAATGTGTCTCAGTCCTATTGAATTATAATTCCATAGTCCAACTTGACATTCATTCATCATAGAATGGACTCTCATAATTCCAGAAGGATCCATATAACCTTGAAATCCGAAAAGCGAGGGGTCAGGGTTGTTGGAGTCTACATATGAAGCCAACAACCTTGCAAAAGCCGCTGCACTGATTGGCCAAAAGCACCACAGCTTCCTGTAAAGTGCTTTTCCCATTTGCTGGAAGAGATGCCCCATCCCCCTTCCCTCCTGCTACCCTGGAAACCAGAGCAAAAGGTGAGAAAAAGGGTAGAGGCCAATTTTGCAGCCCTTTAAATGCTATTTAACTGCAGCTATTCAGTATTGCTGAATAATTCAAAAATACCGGTAAGGTATTTTTCGGGCATTTTTTTTTTGTCTCAGATACACCCAAACACATATCCCTAGTGGCTGCACGTGCTTCTGGTTAGGGGAAGGTGAACAGTGCAATAATCTTGAGTCTCCAGCACATTTGATTAACTGGCACCCTCCATTCTCCGTGAGTGCTGAATAACAAAGCTTTTATTGTACCATGCTTCATTTTACCCATCGTTGAAAAAGCCGACTTCTTTCTCTGCTAGCTCTACATTAGACACAACTGCCTTAAAGAACATTCTGTGTTGGGTGTGATCAGGAGTTTATTGGATAAAGGATGGTCCAGGGGAGAATTTACTTCAATTAACTTAATGTTTTTTTTAATTAATACTGTTGTGTTTTAATCAGCATTTGTTCAATAATTCAGGTGAGCCTTTCTAAGTCACTGAGAGACACTACAAGCCGGCTTGCTGAACTAGGGTGGCTGCATAACAAAATAAGAAAGTATACAGACCAGAGGAGCATGGATCGCGCATTTGGACTAGTGGGTCAGGTATGTTGGTTTCAAAACTGGCTGATGTGTGTCCACCTTCCAGAATTATGCTGTATCTAATCGTGTGAAAACCTGGGAGGAAGAAAAACCCAGTAGTCTTTGGTGTCAAAGACTTGTCGAGTTATTACTGTTGACAGGAGTTAAGAGATGTGGTGTTGTAGTTATGGGCAATGTCTCGCACTCAGTGATTTGGCTTGCTTTGTCATTTCTCCTTCTCTTCACTTGAAATGCTTTATTGGAAGAAAATTTTAGAAATAGCACTATGGTGTGTTCAGGCAGACACTGCTTTTGGCTGCTTAATCTTGATGATGACATTATACAGCAAATTAGTGGCTATTTGCAAACTCAAAAATGCTGATTATTATTTCTAAGTTTTGATACTGTATACTTCTAGTGTTTTTATACAGGCCTTCACTGCGGGTGGTACTTTATCTGTTTGGTTATTATAGGTTTTTAGCTAACTCCCCCCCCCGTCTTCCCAAAGCAGCATACACAATGCAATTTAAATAAACAAATGGAACCATACAAATAAATAATCTTGGGCAGGACCTGAATCCATTGACCAGCTTAATTCCACACCTCAGGCTGGGAGCCATGAGCTAAGAACCAAGGGCAAAAAGCTTTTTGACTCTTCAGCTCATGCCTCTGGCCACACCCAGGCTAAATATCCTCATGCAGTTCCACAGGGAGAAAAAACAAAACAAAACAACAGACAGGTTGCTGCCCCAAGAAACTGTGATCTAAAAAAGAGAACAGGGAAGGCTGCAGATAGTGGGTAGGGAGGTATAAGTGTGGGAGGGTATGCATGTGCCCAAAGGCAGTTTCTTCAACTTAGTTACTGTTGAGAATGAGGATTAAAGGGTAAATCTAAAGAACTCCTTAAAAACTTGGTTCTCAGGAAGGATTTTAAAGGTGGTACCAATTAAAGTGACATGACTTGGCAAAATTATGAGGAGCAAAGGAGGAGGAATTAAAGATGACATCTAGTCAATCAGTTGGAAATTTGGTGACATTGTGAGCAGAAATTCTACTTTGTGAGCTACCGGCATTAAAGTTGTGAGCAAGCGATTTGGCTACTGCGTAAATTAGTTTGCTCTGGAGTCGTCCTTCCTGAGCTAAGAAAAAAATGTGTGAGCCGGAGGCCAAAAAACTGTGAGCTGGCTCACACTAACTCAGCTTAGAGGGAACACTGGTTGTGGTAGAAGGAACTTCCCACAGAGGAATTGAAGTTCTAGGCCAGCCTCATCTAGGTTATCCAAACTGGCTATCCCTTAGGGAATGAACTCTCCTGAACTGGATGTCCTCTAGCTCCTGTTGGCTTTCCCTCAAGAGTTTAGTTTAAAAACTGCACAATAACCTTTTAAATATATTAAGCAGCACCATTCTGGTTCCTTTTCAGTTCAAGTGGAACTTATCTGTTTTTTATGAAATCATCATGTCCCCAAACACTACTCATTTTCTAAGAAACCTAAGTCTTTCTGCTACCACTGTGTTGACCATGTGTTGAAACTCCTAATCTCTTTCTGTCCAACTGACCTTGCTTGTGGAACAGGCAGCATTTGAATTTTAACCTCCTGCCTAGTAGCCTTAATTTTGCCTCTTGGTTCACAGAACTGCAGTTCCCAACATGGTTGGTACCAGTGCTCCCTCTAAGCTGTGGAGTCTTGTGAGCAAAAATTCTACTTTGTGAGTTACCGGCATTAAAAGTTGTGAGCGAGCAATTTGGCTACTGCGTAAATTAGTTTGTTCTGGAGCCATCCTTCCTGAGCTAAGACAAAAATGTGTGAGCTGGAGGCTAAAAAACTGTGAGCTAGCTCACACTAACCCAGCTTAGAGGGAACACTGGTTGGTACCACCATTGCCCTGGGTTCTTCTCCAAATTTAAACAGTGTGTGATATCCACAATGCCGCCTCCCCAGCACAGCCAGAGTAACTGACAGACCAGTCTCTATATTCCTATGTACCAATTCTGACACTGCTGAAAAAGATTATGCAAACAGACATTTGTGGTGTAAAAGCTCATAAGAGCTGTTCAGAATCCTTTTATGTGCTGATGACCTTGCCTTGCTGAGGTTTCGATCGTTGCTGGAATGGCTGGTGCAGGAAAGAGGAGGCACATGTGCGGCTTCAAGAGTATCTGAAAAGTATTGGGAAGATGTGGTTGAATACTGGGAGAGAGACAAGGGCATTCGTCCAACATTCCCATTACTTTGGAATGATATTAAGATGTGTTTTGCTGAAGGGCAAAGAATTGCTTCTAAGTGATATTTCAAAATTTTGGGAAATGAGTAAAATCCTTTAGCTGTGTTGAAAAGCTGCAGAAGTGAGGATAAAAAACTATGCTAGGAAAAACGGCAATAATGATAATGACTGGTCCTTATAAGATTTTAGAGTAGGCTGCTTAAAATATTTCAGAAAATTAATTTCTGTCCCTTTTGTGGCCCATTTCCCCCCTCATTATAGTTATTATTGTTGATCTGTTGAGTCAACTGAATTAATTTGTAATCAGTTGTCTTCTGTTGCTTTATGCAAAATCGCCTGTGATTTCTACCTACATTTCTGAAGACATCTGAATTGAACTAACCTGAGAATCTCTCAGTGACATACCTATTTTAATACCACCTTCTAGCTTTCTAAATTACTTAACAGTCATCATTCAGAGTTAGTTTGGTGATAATTAGTTCTGTTTTTTGAAGCTTCTTCTGCTTAGCAGACTGCTTTTATGAGTCCTCTTGAATTTAAAAAGTGATGTGCTGTGACTGTGTTTGGCACTGCGAGATCATTTGTCCCGTCGGATGCATACAAACACTTGCAAGATCAGTGCTATGTGGAGAATGTTTATGTGTAACCTATGTCTCTGTTTTTTGTTTCTTCACTTTTACAGAGCTTTTGTGCTGCCTTAAACCAGGAACTCAAAGAATACTACAGACTACTATCTGTTTTACACTCACAGGTAAATAAACAAATATGTGGTTGTTTCTTGGTTGCGTCTGCCCAGTTGGCCAAATTGGCCTGTATAATAGGCTTGTAAGCAGAATTGCCTCCAGGTGAGAGAGTTGTTAGAAACCGGATGGAAATGGGTTGTTCTGTTTAGTTTTGTAGATGGTGTCACAAATAATGTGCTGTGATAAATGTGGGCTAAAGGTAAAGGTAAAGGTTCCCTTGCTCGAAAGCCAGTTGAGTCCGACTCTAGGGTTGCGGTGCTCATCTCCGTTTCAAAGCCGAAGAGCCAGTGCTGTCCGAAGACATTTCCGTGGTCATGTGGCTGGCATGACTAAACACCAAGGCGCATGGAACGCTGTTACCTTCCCACTGAAATGGTACCTATTTACCTACTTGCAATTTCTTGCTTTCGAACTGCTAGGTTGGCAGGAGCTGGAACTAGAGATGGGAGCTCACTCTGTCATGCGGCACACTCGGGTCTCGAACCGCTGAACTACCGACCTTCCACAGCCTGCAGTTGAGCGTCATAACCACTTGAGCCACCACAGCTCTTTAAATGTGGACTAGGGAGCCTCAAAAACTGTTGGTGGTTTATTAACTGCTGCAGGTTGCTTGCAACTCAGCTGTACAATGAAAGTAATTGCTTCTCTAAAAGTGATGTTAAAACATTTTATTCTGAACCCTTTCAAGTGATATGATGGTTTTTATTACAGCAAAGTGAAGTCTATGGGCTTAGAGGGGAGCAACTTTAAGGTTGCACTGTTGGAATCCTTTGTCAGGCCATACACTTCATGGTCTCTTAATCTGCTTTCTAATTTCTTTTCAAAATTTGGCTCTTTTAATGGCTTTTCCCTTTGATTTACATGATTTCTAACTTTGCAAAATTTTCAGCTTAACAATTTTATTTTATAATATATATATATGTGTGTGTGTGTGTGTATGTGTGCATATTTGGGCATATTTGAAGTTAAAAGGAATACCAGAGAAGAGCATGAATGATTTTATATTAGTTCGCTACTAGATCTTTTTTTACTTTTCTCTCTTCCTAGTTGCAGGTGGAAGATGATCAAGGTGTAAATTTGGGGAGTGAGAGCAGTTTAACACTTCGGCGTCTCCTAGTCTGGACGTATGACCCTAAAATAAGATTAAAGACGCTTGCAGCACTTGTTGATCACTGTCAAGGTCTGTGAATTAAATTGTTTTTTCAGCTATGAATGAAGTGATACATGAGTGTCAACACAATTTGGAAATTACAGAAAGTCCCTTGTATTTAAAAAGTTGATTTGTTCAAACCTAAATTACTACACTGCAGAGAAAAAAGGTGGAATTAACAGTACAATGCTAAGCAGGTCTTCTTGGGTTCTCGCTGTTATTGTTCAGGATGATGCAAACCAAGGTTGACGGTGAAGAGCTCCAAGATGAAGAGCTCCAAAATTTTCCCATCAGCCTTAATCTGGCTCCTGATTACAAGTGTTCCTATGGAAGCATCTGGTCACCAACATGTTTCCCAATTTCTTATTTCTCTAGTATGTTGAAGTAAAGTAATTTTTATCATCTGAATTATTTCCCACACTTTGATTAGCCAATCATTTTCTTCCCTGGAGCATACCAAGATTTTCAGAAGCAAGCATATACCATTTTAGCAGCATTCAATAAATGTAACACTGGTTTCTGGCATGACTTTTGCACTGTCCATATATAATTTAGTTTTTTTTAATCCAGCTTTTAAAAAGTGTGGGCATTTTTACACAGCTCCCACATATGAAAAAGTCTGGCTTTTTAAAGCAAATTAATACCAATACTGTTGAGATGAATTTTGATATCTTTTTGAAAGTTTTCATGGTGACAGATACTTTTGATGTAGCATCTTGAAGCAAATTTCCCTAGTTTGCCAATTCCATGAGAAATGGGATCCCTTCAAGTATCTTGCCATGCCGTCAAACCTAAATTAAATCCCAAAACCACATTATAATGAGCCAACCCTGCATTTCCCCAGATCTCATTTTCGCTTGTTGGCTGACTTACTGTAGCTTCCCTATCTCTTGTGATCTCTTATTGCCAAAGCTAAAGAAGAAATAGGTGGTGCTAATTTAGCATAGATTTTGGTCTGTATCTTTGTCAAATCATTAATAATTCCGTTATCTCCACGATATACTTTTCTCTTTCTGGCTTCTTATGCCATAGCTATGCACAAAAGGATAGTGTAACAAAATTTGTCTCAGCTCCCAGCACTTCTGTGTCATCCTGTTCTTTCGTCCATTTGCTAAGCAGTAGACTATTTCTCCAGACTGGGCATTCCACACGCCCTGTTCTGCCAATTTCCTGTGATGTGTTTATTTTTACTTTTGGGTATTTGCCTTTCCAAATGAGCTCATTAAATTTTTTTTGGGGTTTTTTTCTCAAGCTGTGTTCGGGGACACAAGCAGATCTCTTACTTAGCAAAAATACCAGTTTAGATGGAGCTATCATAGTTGCAGCATGAACTTGCCTAAAGAGAGAGGAACTAAGATTCTTTCAGACTCCAGATCAGAACTTTTAAAGTTGCCCTCTGAAATATCTTTATAATTTTCTGGAGAAGGTGATTGAGCGAGCAGTGGCTGAGCAGTTCCCGGTTTTCCTGGATGAGCTCTGCCCTGGACCGTTTTCAGTTGGGCTTCAGGCCTGGCTTTGTGACCAAGACAGCACTAGTTGCTTTGGTTGACAATCTCTTTCTACATTTGGATAAAGGCATGCGGCCCTCTTGTTCCTTCTGGATTTATCAGCGGCCTTTTATACAGCAGACCATTTGGTCCTGATCGATTGCCTTGCCTCCTTGGGGGTAAGGTGCACTGCCCTTAGTTGGTTTAATGTGTTCCTCCAGGAACGCTCTTAGAGGGTTAGTATCGGGGAGGAGAGGTCTTCTTGATGAGACCTGAATTGTGGGGTCCCACAGGGTTCGATCCTCACTCTGATGTTATTTAACATATATATGCACCTGTCAGGTACTTCAATGACTCAGTATCAACAGCAGGTTCTTAACTAGATTCAGCTTTATTGATCAGAGTAAGGTGAAGTTGACTTGGACTGAACTGAACTATTTAGATTGGCCTTTGGAGGGTAACCACGAGTTTGGGCTGTTTCAATAGTGGTTTGATGATAGCCACTATTTTAATATTTTAATGTTACTATTTTATATTTGTCATTTGTTATTATGTTGTTTTTACCTTATTGGTTTTAATGTTGTAAGACCCTTTGGGTGAGTGGTGACTAACCCTCCCCATAAATAAATGAATAAATGTTCATTTTTATGTTTTCAAAAAAAGAATCATTTTTAAGCTGAGATGCATTTCTTCTGAATTAAACTTATATCCTGCCATTTTACCATATTCTTTCAATACATGAAAAACTCCTTACTTTGTTTTTGTGGGTCTGTCATAAATGCATTTGGCCGCTAAGGGCCGTGAAGTCACTTCAGACTTAATGACCACCGAAATGTCCTATCCTTAACCGTCTTGCTCAGGTCTTGCAAACCGAGGGCCGTGGCTTCTTTGATGTAGTCGATCCATCTTGCTTCATTGTCTCTTAAAATATTTATGATCTTATATTGAATACTTTTGATATAAATTGCTGCGCCCTTGGGTCTTGTATCTAATTATATCAGCATTTTTTTCTGGAGTTGAAGAAAAACTGTTAAGTACATTTAAATCATTAATACTAACAGATGTAATCTTTACAACACTCATATTGTTAAATTAGTTAACAACCAATCAGTCCACAATTAATTTTTTCTTCTCAAGTGATAGATACTTTCCTCCTCCACCACAGTTGCTTTATGATACCGTTTACATTTGAACATGAGATGGAAGGGTATGTTCCCCATATAAACAATATCTCTTTGGTCTGTCATTTATCAGTTAGCAATTTCAAATTTCTGTATTTCTGAAGGCTGAACAGGAATAAATCTGGAAATATCAAAATATTTTCATCAACATTCATCTTGTGGTCTGATCCCAAGACTCCTGTAAAAAACTTTTCTAGATATTGTCACCATTCACTTTCAGGCCATATGTTTTCCCACTAAATATCTGGCTCTTATTTTCAAGATCCCCTATTTTATGCTCCATATCATTTATTCTGTCCACATTGTTAATACCATTTATACCAGATTTCTTCCTTAATTAGTCTGTTTCATTTTTTATCACTTCTTGCTTTGCTTTAATACCTTGTTATTCCTGACTGGTTTGTCTTATATGTTCTATTTTTTGTTCAGTATGCATTAGATTTGTTTCAAATGAAAGAACCAATATATCTAATTCTCAGCCCATCTTAAATCCAGAGACTGGAGCTGTGAATGGATAAGCCACATCTTTCTACAAACCTGAAAAATGCTTCAGATTTGTAGATGAATCCAAAATCTTAAAGCAGCAACAACAACAAATATTGGGGGTTAAAAAACCCAAAATGATAAAAGGAACACCTGTATTTTTAAGGAATGGATGCCCTCAGTGGCAATTGCTTTGGTAACCACAACAGTTTTGCCAGCATTCCAGGATTGGTTTCTGTCAGCAAAAGGCAGGGGAAGGAGGCAGGGCCCTCTCCAGAGTTGTTTTGGCCTTTGAGGGAAGACGAAGTAAACAGAGGTCAACTCGCCAGGATTGGCTACTTATTATTGTTCAACAGCAGCTACTGCATGAAAACCAGTGTGGTATATTGGTTAGGAGTTTCAGACTAGGGTCTGGGAGACCCCATCTGGAATCCCTGCTCTGCCATGGAAAGCTCACTGGGTGACTTTGGGCCAGTCACGCACTCTTTGAAGATGAAATGGAGAGGAGGAGAATGATGTTAACTGTTTTGGGTCCCCATTGTAGAGAAAAACAGATACCAGTGAATTAAATAAATCATAAATATAGCTGAGTTTGGGGGCAGATAAAAGGTTGGGGTCTTGGTGGGTGGGAAGGAAAGAAGGAACTAAGGAAAGGTGAGGGAAATGGGGACTGCTAGGAGGAGGAAAAGAAAAAATACTGTGGGGAAGAGGATAGAGGGGAGATTGAGGTGCCCCCTGCAACACCTTGAGGGTTCCCTACCATGTACCTGGCCCCGGCCCTGGCCAGCCGTACACAGAGTTTTCCAAGGATAGGCCTCCAGGGGAGGGACAGAGGGAAAGCTGAAGACTAGGGAGCAGATATAGGTAGACTGGCTGCTGGGTGGGAAAGACAGAAGCAAACAGGAAATGGTGGGCTTTCAGGAAAGGAAAAAAGAAGATACTAGGGGAGAGGAAAATGAGATGCCCCCCGCAAATCCTTTTGGGTCCCCTGCTGGTTTTATTTGTTTCTGCTTTTGATTGGTAAAATTGTACGTTATTTTCTCTTGAAATGATATAAATTCTGCTGAAATATGCTACTAATATTAGCTAAAGAAAATGGAGGTAGTTCTCCCTACTTCATATTCTAACCCTGATTTTTTTCTTCCTCATCATGATCTTTATTTTTTAGTTATCTAATTTTCCCATCGTTTTTCTATTCTTCTCCCCACCCTTTTAAAGTTCAACTAGTGGGGAAAAAAACCCTATTGCAATATTCTCAGTATTACAAAAGATAAGCATAATATTCTAGTGCCACATATTCCATAAGAAAACTTAACAGATAAAGCTCTTAATATGAAAATGTTAGAAAAGTTAATCTGTTGCCACATGCCTGAATAAATAAATGCAGAGATGAGGAGACAAAAGGAAAAAACCGTTATTGCACTTTCCCACGATTTAATGTTATTGTATAATTTTAGTCCTTGGTGGAAAAATATTAGATATTATTTGCAGGGTTCTGTATTGCATCTGTTTCAAAGTTTAAAAGTGCTTGATTCACCAATCCTGCAATTAGTGTTGATATTAATTAATGTTAATATTAGATCAACTTTTTTTTCTTAGAAAATTTTATAAGTAAAAATGCCATTTTATAGAGTAGATATAAAGAACTTAAAAGTTGATGATGTTTTACTTGCCCATTGCAGTAGTCACTGTCAAGGTCAAAATGCAACTACTGTTGAAGTCCTTGCTTCCCTTTCTAAGAATGTAAGAAAGAGCCAGGCTAGCTCAGACCAAAAGCCCATCTAGCCCAGCTTTTGGTTCACACAGTGGCTAACTAGTTACCCTCTAGGAATCCCACGAACAGGAAGACTGCAACAGTGTCATCCTACCTGTGCTCCCCAGCAACTGATTTAAATAAGCTTATTACCTCTGGTACCGGAGGGAGTAGATGTCCATCATGATTAGTAGTTAATGATAATCCAGGCCTTCATGAATCTGTCCAGTCCCCTTTTTAAAGGCTTCTAGGCCGGTGATTATGACCGCATCCTTTGGGAATGAGTTCCACAAATTAACTGTGCTCTAGGTGAAGAAATACTTCCTTTTTTCTATCTGAATCTCCCATCCTTCAGCTTCAGTGGATGACCCTGGGTTCTAGTATTATGGGAGAGGGAGAAAAGTTTCTCCCTGTCTGCTCTTTCTATGCCTAGCACAATTTTATAAATCTCTGTTGTGTCTCCCCTTACTCACCTTTTTCCTAGGCTAAACAGCCCTATGCGTGATAACCGATCCTCGTAGGGCAGCTGCTCTAGCATCCTGATCATTTTGGTTACTCTTTTTTGCACCTTTTTGAGCTCTACGGGTGCAGAGACGAGATCTGTACACAATATTCCAAGTGTGGTCTAACCATAGATTTATAAAAGTGCAGTATGAAAGCGGCAGTTTTATTCTCACCGAGTTGACGTTTTCATTGAGCTATACACTGCCATCCCAAGGTCCTCTTCTTGGTCTGTTGCTGCCAGCTCAGATTCCATCAGTGTATATGTGAAGTTGGGATTATTTGCCCCAATGTGCATCACTTTATACTCGCTCACATTAAATTTCATTTGCCATTTTAATGCCTATTCCCCCAGTTTGAAGAGATCCTTTTGGAGCTCTTTCCAATCCTTTTTTGTCTTAACCACCCTAAATAATTTGGTGTCACCTGCAAACTTGCCCACTTCGCCACTCACCCCTAACTCCAGGTCATTTATGAACAAGTTGAAAAAGTTGTTCTGTTTCCAAAGATTAGCAAATAGTAGCATCATAGTTTAGTACCTACCCTAAGGCCCCACCAGAAGGTCAGTAGCACCCTTCTCCCATTGCCCTTACAGCAGTGTTTGCAACATGGCCTCAGGTAGCCGGCAGTTCTTGTTGGTTGCCTCTCCAGAAGGGTGTGCCCTGTCAGCTGTCTGGCTCGGCTTCACAACTTCCAGCATCCTTTTCCCAATGCAGGGAATGTGGAGGCTTCTCCATGGCACAGGAAGAGAAGGGAGGACCCAAATATCTGCCCTACCAATGGGATTATATAGCTTCTCCTGCGGCTCAGTGACCTCCAATAGTACAATCTCAATAATGTCCTCAGAGTGTTTAGACCTTCCCTCCCCCCTGGGTCTCCTGACTAATATCTAACCAAAAAGTCTGAAGAAGAGAAGAAGAGATTGGATTTATACCCCGCCCTTCACTACCCAAAGGAGTCTCAGAGCGGCTTACAAACTCCTTCCCCTTCCCCTCCCCACAACAGACACTCTGTGAGGCAGGTAGGGCTGAGAGAGCTCTGACAGAAACTGCTCTTTTTTCAAGAACAGCTGTTCCAGAACTATGGCTTGCCCAAGGTCATCCAGCCAGGTGCAAGTGGAGGAGTGGGGAATCAAACCCGGTTCTCCCATATTAGAGTCTGCGCATTTAACCACTACACCAAACTGGCTGGAAGAATTTGTTGGTCCAGAGATATCATGTGATCTTGTGCCTCGTTCCTGATCTTTTCATCATTTTTAAGAGATCAGATACATTGGTGTGTGCATTGAGCCTAGTGATGGTTCATTATAAGAATGCTGTTTATTGTCCCAAATGTGAAAATATTAAACCCGCAAGATTCAGGCAGAGGAATAAATCTAACAAGTGTGAGTGTGTGTGTCAGAGAGAGAGAGAGGGTGATTTAGCACTTGTTCTTTTTTGGCAATCTTCTTAGGCACATTTTTCATCACTTTTATTTTTTAATTATTTATTTATTTTGAGATTTATATCCCGCCCTACCCGTACTCGCTCACCCGTCTTAAAGATCTAGACCATAAAACTACACAGCAGTGATCTAATGAGGAAGATCCCAGTGTACTTTCTCTCTCCCCCCCCCCCAAGTTTGCCTGGTGGTCTAGGCAGAACCCTTAGAAGGTATAAAAGGCACCTTGACCCATATTTTCCTAACAGTGTGAGGGGGAAGTTTTCAGTCTGTTGAATGCTGGGGAATAATGTGGCTACTGAGAAAAAGTACACTACTTTTTCTCTCATGTACAGTGCAGTCCTAAACAGGCTTAAAGGTAAAGGTTCCCTTGCTCAAAAGCCAGTCAAATCCGACTCAAGGGTTGCGGTGCTCATCTCCGTTTCAAAGCCGAAGAGCCAGCGCTGTCCGAAGACGTTTCCGTGGTCATGTGGCCGGCATGACTAAACACCAAGGCACACGGAACGCTGTTACCTTCCCACTGAAGCGGTACCTATTTATCTACTTGCAATTTCTTGCTTTCAAACTGCTAGGTTGGCAGGAACAGTGTAACAGGCTTACACCCTTCTAAATCCATTGAAGTCAGTGGGCTTGAAAAGCTGTAACTCTTCTTAGGATTGTACTGTTAAGTTCTTCTTCTTCTGAATTCAGAAGCTCTGGAGGGATGATGTGTAGAAGTACTGGATTTCCAGTCCCTGCAGTCCTGAGAAGCCAGTGTGGATCAGAGTAATTAAGAAGCCTTTTCCATACTAAAGAATGATCCAGTTAAATGGCCGCTGCAGTTCAGTTTTTTGTATGTATTTTTACTGGTAAAGTCTTCGTAGCAGTGGCAGTTTAGTGGCAGTTATTGTACCAGACCGATTTTACTGAATGCTGGAAGAATATTAGGGACAGCGTTAGATTGCCATGTGCCTTATGAAGAGTTTTGTTTTAAAATATTAGGTAACTGCTTTGTCATGAAAATTGATGTAAGGCATAGCCACAGGGGCATAATTAGTTATCTAGGTGGGTAAGAGGCAACCTAAGTATAAATCCTTGTTCATATATATATATATATATATATTTCCCCCCCTAATTTTTTTCAAATTCTTGTTCTTGCCGCTTTTGTTTCTGCAGGAAGAAAAGGGGGTGAACTAGCATCAGCTGTGCATGCCTACAGTAAAACCGGTGACCCGTACATGAGGTCCCTGGTGCAGCACATTCTTGGCCTTGTGTCGCATCCTGTCTTGAATTTCCTTTATCGCTGGATTTATGATGGGGAACTGGAGGACACGTACCATGAAGTAGGTGGCATAAAATATTTTCTCAACTGAGGTTCTATTTCTGATTTTGGTTACAAATGAAAGTTTAAAGTGTAGAGTTCAACCTGTAGTCTCAAAACTATTCAATTCAGAGGAGATGTGAGAAGAAATATTGGCATTAACATTGAGAGTAGATTGATGTATGAAAATTCTTGTGTGCCTTTTGTTTAGACCAAATGTAACTAGTTCCACATGCTGGGCATTCTAGGTTTTGTCATAGACCAGCCCCTCATGGCATTCTGTGAAACAAAGTAAAAACCCAGGCTCCCCCCCCCCCCAAAAAAAAACCCCAGTAGCTTTCGATGTTCTGATCCTAAAATTTTGCTGAAGCACCAGCTATATAGGCTTGTATCCTACACTCTGCGCAGCAAAATGTAACACCTTGCTCCAACTCTGTGCAGCAAAATGTAACACCTTCCTCCAACCTACTGAGCCTTACTTCAATAGAAGCGGTTCTGAAGAGCCACTGAGATGACTAATTCTATAGGGTGTAAGCTCTGAGAACACTCTGCTTTTAAGTAACATTCCCACTACAGTAAGTTTCCCATATACCTAGGGATGCCATCCTGGCTGATGGAGGCGGGGAACCCCTATTCCCAACTTACCTTTCCCACCACCACTCAAAATTTAAAAAAATAGCCATCAGGCCTGTAGCGTGACATCACTTCTGGGAAAACCCTCCCTAGTAAAACCATAGAGTTTTTAGCGATTCCTAGGGAGGACTGATGTCACTTCTGGGTTATTCCCAGAATTTACATCACACCGTTGCTGACGGCTGCTTCCCATGTTCCTCCCTCTCCTTGAGTCTCCCACTGGTTGGCAGGCTGGCCCTGGCAACTTTAGAAATAGCACCTTTGGCAAAAATGGAGGTTAACAACAATGGGATAAATAAATATGTGGGTTTTCTTGCCATGTTGTAGCAGTTATCCTGTGGGATACTGCTTCGCTTTGTAAACAACCGCTTAATTTCATTTTGAGAAAATCCCCCTTTTTATCTGTTGGTCGGAAGGCCTTGGCATTTGTTCATCATTTAGGCTGTACCATGATTTCCCATCTCTCTGGCAATCTTTTCTAACTAGATATAATAAAAGCCAAAGAACCTTGAATGGGTAAAGTGAATCGATAAAATAATTATATTGCAATTATGTTCTGACCTTGGTTTGCTTCACCCTTTCCAAGATCTCTTTTTTTACTGGAGTAATTATAAAATGCTCTTCCAGCTCTTTGTATTTTTTACTAGATGTTTTCTAAATACATTAATTGCATGTTACTTTGCCCTGGTTATAAAATGAAGGCTTTTATAACTCCCAAAGATGATTGAATTGTCTGATGGATTTTAAAATTAATTTTTTCTCATTAATACTCAAATTATGGCTCCATGCCAGTTACCAAGGGGAACTGTGGTAATAAATTTCAGAGTCTGATTTTGTTGATTTTTTAAGAACATATGTTATACCTACTCTCCTGGGTAAGTCCCCCCCCCCCCATTCATGAATTAATATTGCAATTCAGTACAGCTGCTGTACTTTTAGAATACTATATCTGGGGTCTGTTCTGATGATACAATCTGTCTTCCAGGGCATTTTTGTATGGCACTGAGATCTGGTCTTAGGCATGTGTGGTTGGAGCCAGACTAATTGGCAATTTCCATCAATTCCCACATCCTGCTATAGATCCTCCTCATGCCATTCCTCAGGGTTCCCTAATCTATGAGCTGCAATTGGAGGTAGGGGGTAGGAAAATCCCATTCCAATGATGGAAAATGGTCTAGATCTGTCTTATGCATATGCCTTCATCACACACACCACCTGAACACTTGTTTGAATGTGGAATCTCCTTAACTGATTTGAGCATGTAGCTTATGTGGCTAGGGAGAGCCTACATTCATGTAAACATAGTGTCTTCTGGTTCATTTGTAATGTTTGGTGTGCAGCAAAGAGAATGGAGGAGGACATATGAGTTGGGTGAATGGCTCCTGACCTCATGCTCTCCTGGAATGTAATATCTGAACACTACTGCTGCCCTTCTGTTATAAGGGCAAACAGCTCACAGATTATTTGTTTGAAAACGTTCAAAGGTTTGTTCTTTTTTATCCTTCAGTTAAAAATCCCATTGTTGCTATTTAATTCTAGTTCTCTGTTGTGCTGAAAGATAACAACAGTGAAATAACATTCTCATTTTACATTGCAATCAAGATAATGGTGTGTGATTTTTTTGTCTTGTAAAGTATATAATAGCTTGAATATACATTTTTTTTTAAAAAAGGGTAAATATGAAGTTTTTTTCTGCAGTTTTTTGTAGCTTCAGATCCTACCGTAAAAACAGATCGGTTGTGGCATGATAAATACTCATTGAGAAAATCGATGATTCCTTCTTTTATTACAATGGATCACTCAAGAAAGGTATGACTAAAAAGCTCATCTTTTAAAAATGAACGTATCTGAGATACACGCATCAAGGAGAATGGCGCTCTGTCTGTCTGTCTCTCTCTCTCTCTCTCAATCCATCACAGCTGCATTAACATTGTTGATCTGTGAGCCATGTCCTTTTACCTGTCAGTGATCTGGCAAAGATGCAAGTCTGAATAAAATATATTTGGAGTGTATTGCAATTCATTTGGATAACTTAGGACTGTTGGATTTTAGCTTTGGCTTGCTATTGGGAACGTTGCCTATAGTAACTGGTGTATGCTGTATTTTGGCTTTTCTTAAGAAGCCGAAAACCTGCTGCTCCAATTAATTTTCTTGAATAGGTAATTTCTGAAAATACTCTTTTTAGGTTCTCCTGATAGGAAAATCCATAAACTTCTTGCATCAGGTTTGTCACGACCAAACTCCATCATGGAAGACGATAGCTGTGGCAAAATCTGCAGAATCACCGAAAGATGGTATGAAATTAGAATATGATTACTATAGCAGTATGCATTGTAACAGAATACTTGCTTTATTTGGTTTAATATTGAGCATGGTGGGCACAGGCAGATCGGCCATTAAGGCTACCGGAAAAAGTCCACCTCAGCCCCAAGTGACGGTGGCCCTTGCTCTGCATGAGGTGGGTGCAAGTTGCCACAAAGTGCAAAGTCCATGGGTCCCTCTACAGGGGCTTTGTGTTGAGCTGTCATTCAGCACACTTTGTGAAGAACTTCTGATGATGTCCTGTCTGGTTGCATAACAGCTTTGGAGAATTGTAGCATGTATGCCTGAAATGCTGTCTGAGGGCTTATTAAGTTCAGAATGTTTACACCAAATTCTAGTGCATTGGCACAGGAGCTTGCTTTCCTGTACTTTTTGTTTAGCATTTTAGCAGAAAGCCAGATGCATGGGATGCTTCCATATGGAGGGTCCTCAGTGGATCATAACATTTGTTAATGTAGGCATAGAAGGCCATTTTTCCATTGATGTGCCTCTTGAGTATGAGTTACCAGAGCAGCTGTAGATGTCACCTAGAGGTTTTTTTTCTTCTTTTTTTCCGTGATGTCTCTGCATAGACCTCAAGGTTTTGGGTTCCTTTTAGCCTCCTGAACCTTTAAACGTTCAGATCTCCCCCTCCCCCCCCCGCTTGGGTTATCAGAAATGTACTGTATCCCTGTGCAGCCTCCATGCCATGTGGATTTTTTATCTGCATGTGGGTGGTTATTCGTGTCTGCTAGTTATGTGAAAATTTAGATATTAAAATACTTTTAAGTAATGTGGCATGTAAGAAGCTCAGCTTGACCAGAATATTGACTTTTTAACTTGCGATCATAGCTTCATTCTAAATGATCTGTGATACTCTTGCAGTAGTAGATAAACATGAGTAAGATTATTTGCTAGTTCAGCAAATTTTGAGATTAGGCAGTGTAGACCTTCTGCTTTTTCTTTTTAATTTTTTTTAAAATTAACAAGAAAAATCGATAAACAGAAACAGAAAAATCGATTAACAGAAACAATAATTAAATGTATACAAAGAATGCAAGTGTAAAGCATTTCTGCTTTCCCGATGCTGAATACTGTCCGTACTTGATGCAAAAAACCCAAACAGACCCTATAAGCATTGGCTGTAAATCTTGATCACATATGACCCTCCCTTGTTGGACTGAGGCACAGATCTGTGTATTTTAGAAAGTGTAAGATAATACACTGAAATTGGTCAGCAAGGTTTTTTGGAGCATAATAGCAAGAAGAATAAAATAATGCTTGGCAGTAAAGAGAGAGAGTAATAAAATTACTCTTTTTATAATTCAAAGGTAAATCTTGTTCATATTTTGTTGTAGTTGTGTTCTTGATCTCTACTATGACTTTGTAGCACTCTCACATTATAGGGAAAAACAATTACATTAAAAAAAACCCACCACCTCACTTACAAAAAAGTTTCCTTCACAGCATCCAATCAAAGAGGAATCCTGGCTCTATAGATAAAGATTGTTTTTCACTTGCTCTGTTGTTCCTAAATAGTGGATGTGTGCGTTGCATAACCATCCATTTTCTGAGGTCTGTTGGTATGTAATGCTGCAGAATACACTTCAGTTCAACATTTTATCCTTTTAATACAGGGTGGCTTTAGGTTTATACTACATCAGATCCTGACACTGATTTGAATATGTGCTTTAATATTTTTTTTTAGACTTTTCATGAGAATATTTGCAAAAGTGTGAAAGCTTCATATGTATTACAGAAATATTTATTCTGACATTTCAAATATATGAATCAGTTATTACAGTCATGTAGTCATAAAATGTATTTGTTTAAATGCCTTCAAGACATTTAGCTCTGAAAACCTGCATTTAAGCCCCAGAGAAATACACTGATCTCCTTCCATTCCTCATCAAGCAAAGATGGAGGTAGTGATTTAGTTTTATAGAATTCAAGCCAATGATTTGTCTTGAGTTGTGAAGGTTGTTATACACTGCTTGCATTTAAGAGAGAAAATATTAAAGAATGCACTTTGGCAGTCTAGGTGACATGTGATTTTTCTGTTGACAGCTGCTGAAATGTTCACAGATTTGGAAAATGCATTTCAGGGGAAAATAGATGCCGCATATTTTGAGACCAGCAAATATTTACTCGATGTTCTTAATAAAAAGTACAATTTACTGGAACATATGCAGGCCATGAGGCGCTACCTACTTCTTGGTCAGGGAGATTTTATCAGGCACTTAATGGACCTGCTTAAGTAAGTGACTTGGACTGTATTTGTATTCAATGGCTAATGTTTGTACAAGAGAGAAGGATGTCAGTCCAAAATAGAGTTTTGGTAAGGGCAAACAGGAAAACTTACTATTACAAGATTGAACTGTTTTATCTATTGAATTGTTTTAGTTGGTTTTATGATGGTTACAATTGTTTATTTATGTGTTTTATCCTCCATGTAAGCCACCCTGAGCCTGCCTTGGTGGGGAGGGCAGGGTATAAATTGAATGAATGAATGAATAAATAAATAAATGTACTTTAATGCTGCTGTTGCTATGTATTGCCTGATCTTGCCAGATCTCGGAAACTAAGCAGGATTAGTATGTGGATGGGAGACCACCGAGGAAGACTTTGCAGAGGAAGGCGGTAGCAAACCACCTCTGCTTAACCACTTGATTAATTCAGCTGGGACTTGATGCTAATGAATATTAAAATATTCAGGTTTCATGTTGAGCTATTTTAGATGCACTGTTTTAGAAACAGTAGTATGAATAATTGGGCGTTTCATCTTCTAAGTGGAATGGAATTGGTGGGTGTTGACAATCTAATCTGTTCTTTCACCTCTTGGTTATATTGATCTCCTAGTATTCAATTTATTGTCTGATTTTAAACCTTGGGTATTATTTAAAATATGTTGTGAATGCTGTAGAGCTCGGTTTTGTGTATATACAAATGGGTGTGGGTGTGGCCCGTAGCTAAAGTGTGGGCTGTTGGGGGCTCTGCCCCCTCCCTTAAAGGGTCAGCCTCACAAGGTTTCCTTCTGAATATTTTTTTTTAGCATTTTAAAGCTTTTTTTTAAAAAAAAGGTATATGCTCCTGTGCCTTGCTGTGGCCAAACAGACCAGAGAATCCCCAATGTCAGGCCAATGATACTTTAAAAAAAAAGTCTTTATTACTTAAAAGTACGGTGGCTCAAGTGGTTAAGATGCTGAACTGCAGGCTGTGGAAGGTCAGTAGTTCAGCAGTTCGAGACCCGAGTTGCCGCATGACGGAGTGAGCTCCCGTCTCTAGTTCCAGCTCCTGCCAACCTAGCAGTTCAAAAGCAAGAAACTGCAAGTAGATAAATAGGTACCACTTCGGTGGGAAGGTAACAGCGTTCTGTGCGCCTTGGTGTTCAGTCATGTTGGCCACATGACCACGGAAACGTCTTCGGACAGCGCTGGCTCTTCGGCTTTGAAACGGAGATGAGCACCACAACCCTAGAGTCGGATTCAACTGGCTTTCGAGCAAGAGAACCTTTACCTTTACCTTACAGTTGTTTGGAGACAGACAGAAAAATAATGGCAGCCCCACCCCCAAAAAATTTTTTGCCCGGCAAGCCACAAAGTCCTGGCTACGGGCCTGGTGTGGATTGTATTTAGCATTTTTAGCACTTCCTTTAGGACCCTTTAAGAATCCACTGCTCTTTCGTCATGCTTTCTCTGACATTCTCCTCTTCCCTTTCTTTTTGTGTGCAAGTGTTTGCCAGAATTCCTATAGCATGTTGTTATTCTTTAGGGCCTGGGCATACAGGTTGTCAAGTAGCGTGTGCACTTGGGTCCTGCAGAACAGCAGGCTGCTGAATATCTTTGGCAAAGTACAGGTGTGTGTGTGTGTGTGTGTGTGTGTGTGACTCTGGCTGCAGACCCTACCACCAATGCTTGTAGGCTACTGGACAGATGTGCTGCATATTAGTGCATATAGACAAGAATATCTGCACATAGTTATGCATGGAAAGGCTCAACATTCACAGTAATAGCTAGATGTTGCAGTGTGTTTGAAAAAATAGTATCTGTTCAGGGAGGGGGGCTTTGAAACTCCCTACAGGAATACTCTTCTCTGTGGTGGTGGGGATTGCAGATTGTGCCCATTTGGAGTTAACTGGGACAATAAAGGTTGATATAATTGAAATGCACAGTTGCAACTTAAAATGGGCGCCCTGCATTTTAGAGCCTGAAACTATTCCTCAAGTCTCATTTCCCCCCCCTCATGTTGGTATTAGTCTAATATAAAACTGTTAGGTACATAGAAGATGAACATAGAGATTCATAGACACTCTGGCCTTAACTATTCAGCAGCTATAGCAATGAATAATATTTTGATCAGTAGGAAGTGAAAACTGCCCTTCGAATGTATCAAAATATCTGTATCTTAAATGTGCACTTAGATCTCCAGCTTTGAAAGACACAGATCCCGTACTTAACTCCACGCCCTCATCCGCCTCCGTAGGTGCCAGAAGATTTTGAAAGCATCTTGGGCTTCCCCTGTTTCATGCCACCCCCTTCCATAATGCAGATTTTTCATTACAAAGGGTTCCATTTACTTGCCAGACATCAAAGGAATCTTCTTCTTGTCCAGGAACTGAATGAATGCTACATTTCCGCACTAAAGTGCAACAGAATAATGAGGAGACACAGAATCGGCACAACACTTGGTTCATCAAACAGTGCAGAGTCATGTTTTAGTGGAACAAAAATACTTTTTGATATGGAATTTTTAATTTGCTATTTCAAGTTTATTGAGAATGTTACCTTGCACCTGTCCCTTCTTTTCTAATGCAAAAGCACGCCTGCCTGGTCTTCGTTGATGGAATTTTAACGGGCACTCCAGTCACTTACCAGAAGAGATTCTGCTTTTATTTTAATTTTTTTAAAGATGTTTTTAACCTTGAAGGTTGTTGAGAGTATCTTGAAAATGTGACTGCAATGTTTGATCTTAAAACAGTGTTTTTTAAAATATACAGGCAAGTGTAGCTGTTCTGGACTTTAAGTCACCTTCTGCCTGATTAGAATAGTTATCAACAATCTGTACGCACAACAATACGCACAAGGGTGAAAGAATTCATAAACCTCAGCCACATTTGTAACCTGAGACCCTCCAAAAACAAGGGTGCAAGAGAAAATTAAACCAGGAATGTATTTCCCTTCCAAAAGGGTATTACTGAAGGAAGAATCATGGTTTACTTCAGGAATAGAAAATTAACAGAGTTGCTGCTGGTACACTGAATTATGATTTGGGAAACCTAGGGAGACAATCATCCCCCCAACCCAAGGATTTGATATTCTTCACAAACCTATTAACCCGCATCTAGTATGCCTGACATAGTTGAGCAGATTGGTTGTATTATTTAAGACAGCACTGACTACAGGATGTAACGTGGTCACAGTAAGTTGCTTAAATGCTGAGCCTGGGTGTGAGCTCTGATATGGAAATGTTGAGCGCTTAAGGTCATTTTTGTTTGTGGAAATCCACAACTTTGATGATACTAGTTCTAATTATACATATATAATTCGTCACTTTCAAAGAACACTAATATGTGATCTGAAAATATATTGTATTGTTCTGCTGGAGTAGCAGCCGTTGACAGCAATGCTATTTTGTTAATACAGTCTGTCTGTCTGATCTTGATCTTAATTTTAGGCCGGAGCTTGCCAGGCCAGCTACCACTTTGTATCAGCATAATCTGACGGGAATCCTTGAAACGGCTGTCAGAGCAACTAATGCACAGTTTGATAACCCTGAGATCCTCAAGCGCTTAGATGTCAGACTGTTGGAGGTACTTCTGAGCACTGCCAATGTCTTAGGAAAACGCTTGTCTGAGTACTTTAACCAAAAATGGATAAAATTAGTTCTGAACATATATAGTATTGCCTTTGTATATAGAACCAGATTTCTTATAAATTCAGTATAACTGTATACATACAATAATATAATGATTATGTCACACCAAAAATGAGCTTTGACTCGGCTTAATGTGTGACAATAAAAGTTAAAGCCACAGTGAAATACAGTCGTATGTGTTCAAGGCTACTGGTTCAGTTGTTGGAACACGGCCTGAAATTTTAGTTAAATTGTATTTAAATACAGGTCCTTTTTATGGTCCTGTTCAACCCAGTATTTAAAGAGGGTGGGATTTCTGCGGTTCATCTGTTCTCCTCCCTGTTTACCTAATAAACGATGTGATGTTCCAGTGGAGATAAACCCAGTATACACAGACTGCCTCTTATACTATACGCTATCAAAGGGGGTATTTCATACTTCGAAGGTCACATTTTATGCCAGTATAGTATGTGACTATTTCCCACTCATACTGAAATAAGTAGCATTTAATAAGGGCCATGGCTAATAGAGGGGTCATAGATTCCATTTAGAAAACAGCTGAATAACCATGGATGCAGTTGGTTTGAATAAATGCTATTTTTCCTCCCAAAGGTGTCTCCTGGTGATACCGGCTGGGATGTTTTCAGCTTAGACTATCATGTTGATGGACCAATTGCAACGGTAAGGATATTTATTTCAGGTTGTCAGTTTCCAGCCTCTCCTCCAACTGGCTGCCTAGTTCACTAAATACTTTGTTATTAAAATAGCCTTTGCACTTTTGGAAATGCGTGATTAAAGAGACTGTATGGCATCTTGGATGGTCCCCTTTGTATTAAGAGTACAGCCAAAATCTCAATTTCCCTAAATTATTAATGAGTGTTAAAATGCTACATTTTAAGACTTTCATTATTTGAAATAAATAATTCATTTGTTCTGTCGGAGATTTTAGAAAGTACTTAATAAATGGATTTTCATTTTCCTCCATTATTCTGCAACTGTAGCAACTAATTTGGGATAATTTGCCAGAACTGTAAAATGTATTTCAGGGGAACTTATTTGTACTCTTTAAATAAAATCTGATATGTAGTATTCATTAAAACAGATGAGAAAATAGCAGCACTATTGTTCAGAATGCTTTTACCATGTGTAAAGAATAGCAGTGCTTTCTGAACAAGATGTCAGAAGTGAGATTCTGTCCAACAAGGTATCGTTATGTATAAGTTTGGTGAAAGAAAGATAATATCTCCATTTGCTAATTTGTTAATCCATTTTTTTATGGTTGCATCCCTTCCAGTAAATTCTAAGTATTTTTGCAGGGCTGTGTAGCAATTTGTTAGTTTCATATTGAAAGTAACCTTTTGAGGTATAGAAAGGAACTGCGGAGAAAGTGGTTTCCAACAGTAGTGGAATTGTTTTATGTAATAACATATTCTTTAAAACACACACACACACACACTCTTTTTAATAAAAAACACAGTAAATGACAGGACTAGCAGTAGTTCAACTTATAGTGAAAGGGTAAACAAAATGAACTGGTGCAGCTCAACCATTCCTATCCAAAATTCAGACCAGTACCTTCAGAATAGTTACGGATTTACTGGGTGGTGTGAGGTAAGTCGCTCCTTCAAGCATAATTCAGATGTCGCAACAGGCTGTGATGATCTTTTTGTTGGGTACAAGCCCACTTTATTGCCATTCTTGCATGTGGCCCTTGCTTCTGCCTCATTCCTTGTCCTCCAGGGGGGTGGAGCTTGACCGAACACTTCCTGGCTTGCTCCAGGCCCAGTTCCTCACCCTGACACCTCAGATGGAGAAGCTCTAGTGTATTGGGATTGTGTGAAATAAACAAGGCCCAGTTCACTGAAGCACTTGCATTTGGACATTGAATGAATGAATTTTATTGTTACAGCGCATAGCCAGCAATATAAAAACCATAAAAGTAAATTACAATAGCCAGAGGGTAAAACTTCCAGAGTACAACAAGGTTAATAAGGGACGGCATTGTGCAATCGTTTTGATCACTAAAACCAGACTTAAGAATACGCTGCAATAAAGCACAGTAAAAAAGAATAAAATAAAAATGACAAAAGTAGCAGTAAAAGTTAAAATCAAGCAGTCCTAACCTAAGTGACAACCAGAACACTGATGAGCTTTTACAACCAAGGAGCAAAATTTCGCAATCTGATGGAGCGCTGTATGTTCAAAGTTAGAAAACAAATTCTCTATCTTATCCTGATCTGAAGTGCCAGCCAAAAAAGGATCAATAAGTTTTGTACGAGCCTTGTCAAATAATGGGCACCTCAGGAAAACATGTTCCTGGGATTCGATCTCCCCCGACGCACACATTTGGACATTGTGGTGAAGTGGAGGCTGGGAGATGCTCAATTCAACTCCAGGTGGTAGAAGAAGAGGGAGGTGGGAGGGTGTGAACCACAGCAAGAAATGGTGTTTGTCCCAGATTAGAATATAAATGCATCTGGTTGAGTTGTCTGCTGCTTCAGTTCCCCATCTGGAAAGATACCTTCTCAGGACTAAGGACGTACATGGTGTGAGAAATTGTCTTGAGCTTTAATAAAGAGTGGGCTTAAACATCTAAAATTTACTTTTGGAGAGAGGAATTTGTGCTAGTAATGAACAAGCAAGTCACGGGATAGGTGTGCTTGATCCCTAGTGCTGTGAAGTTCCTGGGAAGGGAAGAAATCCAGTAAGAGTACATTCTCTTGGATGGATTTGGCATGGAGCCTGATCAAATCCTAGATGGGCCACTAATTTTAACAAGTATTTTGCCCTTAATTTACAAAGTTGTTCAGAGGAGAGTAGATGTCACTAAAATAATACATTTAATAAAGAGGAAAGTTGCATTCCAATAGGATTTTGAGTCGTGAAGATCAAGGGCAAGGAGGACATTGTTGTACTTGAGAATGAGATTGATCCTGGCAACTACATCTCAGACAGCTGCTGTAATCTAAAGGCTTCTCTAGTTCTAAAACTGCAGTTACTTACAAGTGATGATATAGTTCCCAAAACTATGTCCAATGCCAGATTCCATTGATTTGTCTCTTCCAGCTATCTATTTAGAAGTAGATCCAGAGCCCTCAAGAGCCTGGATTAATCCTAAATTATTTATTATGGTTGTCCTCTTCTTTTGGAGTTTTCCCTGTTGCCAGCTTCCCTGTCTTAAAACTACTAAGAAGGGAGTCCATTTGGAGGATATTTTTTTTTGTAGTAGCAGAGTCTCAGGGTATGTAGGCTTTAGATTTTGTAAGCATTGGTAGGTATTTCGCCACAACTACTAATCCTGTCTGAAGCCCTCTCTGTTTCTTGCTGTCACTTTGATAAATTTGGGTAAAGGAGAGCTCTAGGCCTGTTTGTTCTTGAGTGATAAATCAGTTTATTTTCGCATGTACTTTTTCTTAAATTCATCCATTTGGGGACAGGTCAGATGTCCACCTATCTCTATTTTTTTTTGAAAATTTACCCCCCCCCCCCGCCCACTATGTATGTAAGGAACTATTTTATCCAGTGTTAGACTAATGATCCTTTAGCCTAATCCCATCAATTCTGACTAGCAGTGATTTTCCACTGTCTTATGCAAAAGTCTTTCCCTCTTCCTGAAATAATTGAATTGTGGATACTAGAGAACTTGGTCTTGGTGTAGTGCTTAAGTGCACAGACTCTAATCTGGGAGAACCAGGTTTGATTTCCCGCTCTTCTACTTGCAGCTGCTGGATGACCTTGGGCAAGCCATAGTTCTTTCAGAGCGGTTTTTTAAAGAGCAGTTCTTGAAAGAGCTCTCTCAGCCCCACCTACCTCACAGGGTGTCTGTTGTGGGGAGGGGAAGGGAAAGGAGTTTGTAAGCCACTCTGAGTGAAGGGCAGGGTATAAATCCAATCTCTTCTTCTTCTCTTCTCTTCTCTTTGTACGTGCAAAGCATATTCCGTACTAGTGGTGCTTTCTTTGTTATATGTCCTGGTGCAAAAATTCTGGAGAAAAGGTCCCAGCCCTCTCCCCCCCCCTCGATTCTTTTGTGTGTGCGTATTGACTCATTATTAATTCTAATATTGTTATCCCGATGCTTGCTTAAACCTTTGTGTTGGAAATATCTTAATTCAGTTGGAAACGCCTGTTAGTTCTCTTGCAGTTCATCTTGAAGTACTGTACTGGAAATGATGCTTCAGCTGTCACTTGAAGCAATTACAGGTGTACATACTCAGATAGAGAAGATGATCACATTTTATGTCTGTATATTGATCTTACCTGCAGGTATTTACACGAGAGTGCATGAGCCACTACCTACGGGTGTTCAACTTCCTGTGGAGGGCAAAACGAATGGAATATATTCTCACAGACATATGGAAAGGGCACATGTGCAATGCAAAACTTCTAAAAAATATGCCAGGTAGGTGAGTAACCTCAAGGGATAATTTCTTCAAGCCATTGCATTCACAGTCTTGTATTCTAGACCAAAAATAAAAGAAACAATCTTAAGCAAATGAAGTGTTGATCCCAAATAATATAGGCCTAAATTAAAGGGCTAACTGTCCCTGCCAGTTTTTTTGGTAGGAACTATGCGCTCTTCAGAGTTTCACTGGGAAAGTCTTTGATCACAGAGGAGTTACAAAGACTGTAAGGATAGTGAAATTTTTGAGACGGCCTTCAGGGGGCAATAGAGCATTACAGATGGTTGCTGACCAGTGCATTTCTGGCACGCAAAGGCTCACAGCAGTGCTTGGAATAGAACCTAGTTTATATATATATATATAATATATATTTAATGCCAAGTTCACTATCAGTATAACTGGATAGAAACCTAAGTATTCTTATACTGATAGTGAACTCGGAATTAAATATTTTCACTTTTAAGTGATTTCAGCCAGCGGTCTCTTGTGTTTTGCACCATTTCTTGTATGCTGGTGCTGGTTCCCCTCCCTTTTTTTGATTTCTACTGCTTTTTGGGATACAAAACTGAATGAATCTTTAGACTAGGTCAGTTGTAGTGCCATTTTGGCTAGAGTTATTTACCTTTCCTCTGCTTGTTTGAATGGGATTTCTGCCTAGACATCTAACCATTGAAGAGGGAAGGCAGTTCTTTGAGGAACACTGCCAGAACAGAAAGGAAGATTTAGAAAAAGCTAATGCCAGCTTTTATTAGATGAACTCAGTCTGTCAGGAAGCTTTTGAGCTGCAGATGCCTCTTCTGCACAGTCTTTTTCAGACATACAGGCAATGCCCAATTCAGTCTAGTGAACAAAGCAAGGAAGTTCAGTCTGTTCTGAATATGTGCCTGCATAATGATGTGGTTCTGTTGAGGGATAGCTTTTAAACTGTAAACTAGAAAAATGACATAACCACTGAGAGGAAAGTTTTCAAGGAAATCTGCAAACTTTATTATGGCAGATTTTAAATTATGAAGTGCCTTCTGGTCAGCTCTAGGAATCCTCTCTGGGAATTCACTCACACATTCCACCTCCCTTGGTTTATTCATTTACAACTTAATAGTATTCTCAGTTGATATCTGACAAAACATAGGTCTTTGGACAGAATTTGTGGCATTGGTGGTTTGGGAGATTTTTTTTTTGTTGGCTTTTTTTTGTATATGGGTTTGCAAGGGTTACTGGACTGGGATGTAGCTGTTACCCAAAGAGGCAATCTCCCCATTAGTTGGGGGAATTAGCATAGGAGACTGTGGGAGGGGGCAATTGGAATCGAAACATCAACATTTATGAGGATTGTCCCTGTGAGGACAATTTGTTTCAATTAAAGAGTCTTTTTATTAACAAAGAAAATGAGAAAAAGGTTCATTCAGCAAAACATATACAACATTCAAGAGCTAGCTGGAAAGGCAGGGAGGAGTGGGGAATCGCGTTTCAGGGTTCAGGTGATATTTACCGGTCCTGGAAAGATCCATGGAAACATCAGACCTGGAGAGAAATGACCAGCGTTTTGTTCCATGAAGGAGAGAAAGAGAAGCTCATGAATGGTGGTGGATGTGGTCCATACTAAGAATACTCAACACACACTGAGCGGGTTTTGGGGGGCAATTCTTATAGGAAAATTGTGCCCTGAGGCTGTGGGAAGGCGTGTGTTCTTTCCTTTGGGAAACTTTCAGAGAACAATTGTGATGACTGCTTTACCGGGGTGAAACAAAGGTTTGGGCCATGGCTTGATGGCTGCTAATGGCCCTGTTGATGACCCAGGAAGGCTTAACCAAACAGGTGACACTGAGATAAAGGGATTAAGTTGCACATAGGTAGTAGCAAAGAGGAAAAAGTGATCTTGAGTATGCAAAAGAGGGTTTGAGAGTAATTGCTTGCTTGAGTTGCTAATTAAGTCTTCCCGGAGATGTTTCGCATAATCCATTTGCTTAAGTTATGCGTTCCTTTAGGGTGGGGGAAAGACATCTGCTCTGACCACCTCCTGATTTAATCAAAGTATATTTCTGTCATTTTCCCATGGAGCTATGTGACTGGCATCCATGTCTGAACAGTGACCTGGCCTGCCCAGGTCCTGGTAGTGCTTGCCCCAGGATTCTCTGAGTTTGAAGAGGGGTCCAGCTACTAACATAGGGGCTTGATTTTCCAATTTTGGTTGATGCCATGCAGTGTTCCCTCTAAACTGAGTTATTGTGAGCTAGCTGACCGTTCTTTTGGCCTCCAGCTCACACACTTTTGTCTTAGCTCAGGAAGGAAGGCTCCAGAGCAAACTGATTTATGCAGTAGCCAAATCGCTCGCTCACAACTTTAGTGCCAGTAGCTCTGTGCAGCTGCCTCTGCTTGACAATCTGCTAAGGTGCCATCTTATAGTTAGAGAGGTTATTCAAAAGCAGTTCTAGTTCTCCACAAGTTATGCAAGTTGGGATCTCAGAAATACTTAACATTTTGCTTATCAACTTAGCAGATGACTGCCAGGTTTTGAAATAGTGAAACTATTCATACGTAGGAAAACTGGCTGCTTAAACATGTCTTTTGGTAACAGAGAAACTTTCTCAGCAGTTAGAAGTTGGAAGAGATCAGGGTTAACTGAGGGACCTGGGGTCAAACTCCCAATTTTGGCTTTAGTAGTAGCACGCAGTGGTGATGGGAAGAAATTGGAAGGCAGCTACTATGTGGGTTATAACAGTATGAGCACCAGTATGTCGTCCCCGTCCCCCCCATTGCAGGGATAATAGCAGTTTTAGAGGGGGTGGTGACTTTAATAGGGGCTGTGGTGGCTCAAGTGGTTAAGATGCTGAACTGCAGACCGGAAGGTCAGTAGCTCAGCAGTGTGAGACCCGTCTAGTCATACCGGCCACATGACCACGGAAATGTCTTTGTACAGCGCTGGCTCTTTGGCTTGGAAATAGAGATGAGCACCCTAGAGTCGGATTCGACTGGCTTTCGAGCAAGGGAAATCTTTACCTTTACCTAGTGACTTTAAATTCAGGAATGGAATTAGGCCCCCTCCTCCCTTCAGCATGAACCAGATCCAATATCTCTCCATTCATCTTCCCTCCTAACTGCTAGTACCTCCAAAATATGACGTGCAATTTGTTTTTCTCTCACTACTATTCCTTTTTTGTTATTATATTAACAGTAACTGAGACTAGGGATTAAGTAAACCAAAGCACCACCCATCTAAGTGTATTTCTCAATGTAGAGCCTGCTGTATAGTTGCTATTTAAAGCTGGTGCTGGTCCAAAGTCAGAATCCATAAACAAAAGCACAGTCCATGTTACTATCTTTTAATAGGGCCAGTCAGCATAAAACAAAACTGTGCAAACTTTCACATTTTTCAGAACTCTTCCGCAGGCAGGATGTTATAAAAAAGAAGCGGTGGTGGGGATATGTTTTAGGCCATCGTGTTAAGTTGCAAGAGCAAGAAAAAAACAACAGCAAACGTTGTGTCTCCATAGGTATGACAAAGGCCAGCGCCTTGACTTGGATAGTCCAGGCTAGCCCGATCCCATCAGATCTCAGAAGCTAAGCAGGATTGGCTTTGGCTAGTATTTGGAAGGGTGACCTCCAAGGAATACCACGGGGGTGATGCAGAGGCAGGCAATGGCAAACCACCTCTGAAACATCTCTTGCCTTAAAAACAAGTCTAGCTCGCCACCTAGTGGTGCATAATGTTAAACAGCTAGAACTTCTGGCTGCCAGACAATATTAGGATCTCCTGGCTGTTCTACACACAATTACAAAGTCTTCCTTGTACCTCTCTGGCACCAAACAGACCCAGGAAGATTAAAATGGGAACTTCGCCACAGTAATCTATCCCTGTCTCCACCCTGACAGAGTATCTCAGGAAACTTAACATTTGAAATGTTTGTATGATGATTGGATTATCTCTCCCCCCAAGGAAGGAAGGAAGGAAGGAAGGAAGGAAGGAAGGAAGGAAGGAAGGAAGGAAGGAAGGAAGGAAGGAAGGAGTATAAAAAATTGAAGGGGAAACCACTGGATTGTAATTCATCATTATTCATCAAGATTTTATTACCTCTAGGGGATGAGAAGTTGCAAACCCCAGCCAGAAAGTGGAATATTATGGACTCAGCAGGGCTTCTAGCTGTATTAATGAGGGGACTTTTCTGTTTTTCAGAAGCTTCCAAGTTTTCTTGTTATACAGTGCTGCTCTTTAATTCAGATATTTAGTAGGAGACTAGTAGGATAAGGTAACAAGACCCAGATGATGCCTAAAAGCCGGTGCGTGAGCTGTGTGTTCTCAGATTGATAATGCAGTTCTGCTGCTCGATCTTCCCTCTTGTCCTGGTTTAGTATATTGTATCCCACATAGCTTTTATGCTCTTATTTTCTGACTTGCTTCTTTCAAGTCTGCATTGCAAGTGTTATGTTTTCTCTTGGGATACAGGAATATCAAACACAGCAAACAGTTCTGTGGCCTTTCTCTCTCATAGGCAGTCTGCAGCATACAGGTGTCGTTTTTTTAAACCGCAGCGCAAACAGGGAAGCTTTGGCATGGCCTTATCTCCTCTTGAAGCTTGCTCTACACTTGAGTACCCTTGACTGACGATGCTTTATCTCCTTTCCCCACAAAGTTCAGCCTAAGCATTTTAGCAAAGCTCACCCAAAAGAGCACTGAAAGCTCAGAGGGATCATGCTCTGGAAAGGGAGACTGCCTCCCAAAGTTGAACTCAGAAATCACTAGGTAGGATACCCAATATAATAGTTGTTTGGTTTTGTAAATGTAATTCAGAATGGCTCGATGTGTAGAACATTGATTGTGGACTTGCAAACTCCTTAAACAACTGTGCCCATTATGTGGCCTAGAGCAGTAGGGTTTTCTTTCTGAAGAAATGGAATATTGCTTTAAAAATTTATGGTGTGTTTTAAAAGAAAAAACAGAATACAGAATGAGATGCAATGTATTAAATAAGGATTGACATAAGATAGTTTGGACAAGTCACTATCCTAATTCTGCAGAACTTGTACTCAATGAGTCTCAGTTACCAGGAGTAGGAAGATTTTTACTTAAAAACAAACAAAACAAAGACTGTTTTGGAAGGGAACAAAAAAATGGAGTATAACTGCCATCTCTGTGTGGCAAAGCATTTAGCTGGTGATGTTCCCCGATCAACCATAGTAGCTCAAAGTGTGGTTGGTTTCACACATAAAGGCATTCTACTTCCTTAGATGTTTTGCAAAGAAGAAGTCAACCACAGGCTGGTACATAAAGAAAATCGTAGTTTTGGTGTTTTGGTATGTAAATATTGTGTGTATTTTTTCTGTGATTTAATGTGGGGCTTTATAAATATGTTGCTGTAGTTTAAAAAGGCAGGCCTCTAGACTAAGAAAGTGGGGAGCTGGATGAGTGATTGAAGTGCGTTATGGTTAGCTGGTAGCTGTATCCTAGGGGGCAAATTTCACTGACTGGGAGAAAGAGTTTGTCCAGAGTGTGTGGGAAGAGAATTGAATGAGATGCTGTGGAGTGTGAGAAAAGTCTTATGTTCTGTGTGGAAGCTATGAGCCTAAGTGGCAAGTGAGAAAATAAGCCTTTGTGAATAGATCTATTTACTACCTCGGGAGGTGGTGGATGCTCGTTCACTGGATGTTTTCAAGCGGAGGCTGGATGACCATCTTTCGGGTATGTTGTAGGTATGTAGGGCTATCTTTCAGCTATGCTCCTGCAGAGTGCAGGGTGTTGGACTAGATGACCTGCAAGGTCCCTTCCAGCTCTAACATTCTATGATTCTATGATTCTATAGACTAGATCTATAAATCCAGTCTCTTCTCTTCTTCTTCTTCTTTTTCATCTATTTAAGGAATTTCAGAGAAAACAAAACTGTACCCATCTGAAACCATTACACCTATGGCCTCTACTGAATCTGTTACAGTGTTATATTTCTAAATAAGCTCTATTTACATTTAAGAGAAAACAATTGTTTTACTTAGAGTAAAGGATTCCCTTTTACCTCAGAGCCACCACTGTGCACTTACCATTCTATCATTCTACCAAAATTAACTAAGCCATCCTAAGAATTCTAGGTCCAGAGCCTTTTGTCAGCAAAAATAAGTAAGGAACTCTAAGCGTGGCAGAAGGCAGCATAACACGTCACCTCAGAACACTACAGAGAGGTGCCTTTACAGGTGTTACATATAAAGGGTCTCAGAAAAGAGCAAAACATTACCGTAGTTATTAAAATTCAGATTCAGAACAGAACGACAACCTCTATTTTGAGGCTCCCATCTTTTCTACAATTTCTCCACCTGTCTCTGTTGCCTACTGCCCACGTCCCGAAATAGTCCATAATTTTTTGCACTGGCTGTTAACAAGTTAACGGTTGAAAGTTATGGTAATAGGCACCACCTACTCCTCTTCCCAAAAGCCACTTTTAACTACTTTTATTTTAAGTTTTGTGCAGGAACTATAGCATTAAAATATTGAACATATAACCTGTTAGTATGAAGCATGTGAGTAATCATGAAGATTGGTCCCATGCTTACATAAACTTAAATCTCCCTCAGTTCAAAGAGGATTGAGCCCATATGATACTTTTGATTAGTGTTCTGTCTGTGAAATAGAAATTCTAAATCCAAGATGCTGTGTCACTACATTGGGGTTTTGTATAATGAGCAGCACGTGTAATATATTAGATCATCTTGGATTTTTCATAGGTAGCTGTGTGGTCTCTCAGCTATTCTGACTCCACATCATTTGCTTCTTATAGATCTCAGCCTGTTCATTTGGTTATTTCACTAAGAAGTCGTCTGTTCCTATCATCTGGTACAAAATTAGGCCGTGCCAAAGTGGGAGACATATTGTCTGACCCTAGACTTTTTAAACAATTCAGGAGAAATGAGATCTTTTTGTGCAGCAGTAGTAATTCTGTAGATTATTTGAATTATTCCGGGGAGCCATTTCTTACCTGTGCAATATAGTGATTGCGTCTGCCTAGTAGTAAAGCCAGTATTCCATATTTTTTTAATTAAGTACTGTTGCCTTATCCAAAAGCTCCACAGTGCTGGCAACCTATAAATTTGATCTTACTTTCTTGTTTGATCCTGTAGGTAAATTAGTTAGGGAGTGGTGTATTTTAAGTTTGTAGCCTGATGCAGTACTGAGCATAAGCAATCGTGGTAGTAATACAATGGGGTTAATATGATGATAGCTTAGTTCCGATGTATGGATTTGGCTGCAAGTTCCCACGAACTGGGGAAGTTTGTGGAAGAGCTTGCACAGGTATGTTTATGTGTGGTTGGATATTGTCCAGTTTCTTCCCAATCTTGAGGTGTGCCCCCAATGCCACATGGTATACATGAATACATGAAAGTGCCTTATACTGAATCAGACCATCTGTCTATTAGGGTCAGTATTATCCACTCAGACAGGCAGTGGCTCTCCAGGGTCTGAGGCAGAGGTCTTTCACATCACCTGCTACCTGGTCTTTTTAACTGGAGATGCTGCGGATTGAACTTGGGACCTTCTGCATGCCAGGCAGATATTCTACCACTGAGCCATGGCCCCTCCCATGCCCTGAAGTTTCTCCTAATCCTCAGCAGTGACTCTATGGTGGAAGCAGTGGGGGCTGCTAGAAGAAGGTGGGAAAGATGCACCTCCGTGAACTCCCTCCCACTTGTGGAAGACTGGATCAAACCGTAGTGTATTGTATGTCTCCCTTCTTTAGGTCCTTCTTTTTAAAGAAGGGAATAGACTGATACTGCAACTTGTTAATGAAAAAATTAAAACTATATGAAACAATCTAGCTAGATTTTTTTTGTATTAATTTTAATATCCAAATTCTTTGGGTTTCTTACAGAGCTTTCTGGGGTGCTGCATCAGTGTCACGTTCTGGCATCAGAAATGGTCCATTTCATTCATCAAATGCAGTATTACATTACATTTGAGGTACCCTTTAACCATCTGTTTTATTGTTGTTTTAAAGTAGGTTGAACATTCTTATTGGCAGATCAGACTAATTATGTTACAGACGTGTGGAGTGGAGAAGTAATTGTTTTTATTCTCTCTAAAGTAAAACATATCCCAACACTAATGGTTTTGTGTCATAGGTACTTGAATGTTCATGGGATGAACTGTGGAACAAAGTTCAACAAGCTCAGGACTTGGACCACATCATTGCTGCTCATGAAGTTTTCTTGGACACAATTATTTCTCGTTGTTTGTTGGATACTGACTCAAGAGTAAGCCCTTTCTTTTATGTAATCGTGATATTTTTTTTTCATTTTCTCTATAATTCTCTTCTCATTCCGTGTCGACTTTCTTTCACCTGGGTTCCCTAGTGATCTATTTTGTGATGCTTAGAGAATATCTGTGCATGTAATCAACTTTTCTATGTATCCCTTTGCTTTAAGAGGAAGTAGTAATATAGCAGTTTTTCAGCAAGTCTGTAGAGGTTTACTAATCTTTTTTCTGTCTAATTTTTTCTGGTATCTTGCTTGTGTCTTTTCATCTTATTACTATCTTTTTGTAGACGCTTCTCAACCAGCTTCGAGCCGTCTTTGATCAGATCCTTGAATTTCAAAATGCTCAAGATACACTGTATAGATCTGCCTTGGAGGAGCTACAGCTGCGATTGCAGTTTGAAGAAAGAAAAAAAGAGCGAGAACTTGAGGTACTGATTGTCTTCAATGGCATTATGTGTGCGTTTGTGTGTTTGTGAGAGAGAGAGAGAGAGAGAGAGAGAGAGAGAGAGAATGTGTTTTCCTTATTCCTCCTTAATATCATCTCTTTCCCTCAAGAAAGGCTGTGTGAATAAGTATTTGTAAGAACAACTGAAACCCTTTCTATATTAGTTTTTGAATAATCCATAATTGAAAACGAATGTGAAGGTCAAACGTTGATTTTGCCATAAAAATAATTTTGGTGGCCATCCGGTCTTTAAAATGAGAGAAATTCTTCATTCGTAGTTGCTACACTGTTTGTCGAAGAATATCTTTGATTAATTTCTTGGCTTTCAGCTCGTCAGACTAATTTAAGACACTTGCAGCCTCATAATACTTAGTATTCTAAGAAAATCAACGTGTCGCTTTGTTAATAAATGCTGCTGTATGAATATGTGCCTTTTGATTGCTAATCCCAAAACATCATTTCTTAAGGGTGAATGGGGAGTAACAGCTTCAGAAGAGGAAGAAGAGAATAAAAGAATTAAAGAATTCCAAGACTCGATACCAAAAATGTGTTCACAGCTGCGGCTTCTTACCCATTTCTATCAGGTATTTTAAAAACTGTTATTGATGAACGTTTGTTTAAATGACCTGTGAATGGAATATCTTTGCTGTCCTTTTTGTAAACTACATGCTGTTTTAATGCAACATTATCTGGATGGAATGGGACTTGGAGGAGGATCAGTGCCGATAAAGTACAGCGTAACCTGTTCCATTATTATGTTATGGGAAGTGTGACATCCCTTCTTAATAGAGGAATGATCAATCAGCCCACATAACATTCCCCAGTCATAGAATGGCCTACAGATGAGCCTGCTTGAGAGGGCGCTTACACTAAAACAAAATACTAAAACAACATAAAAATAATTTGAATTAATAGGCTGTTAAAAACTCAGCCACAAAATGAAATATTTTACAGAGTTTTTAAGAGATCCACTTGACCGCAAAAGCTAGATTGCTGTCTGTCCCTGTGAGTCATTATGGTGGGAACAAATTTCATGACCATCTTGTTGCTAATTTCAGTAGGTTTTTAAGTCCTTTAATTTCATAAGATCCTGGTTCCCATCGAAGGTAAACTTTTCAACTGCATTTGTGTGGATGGGGCCAATACAGCAGCTGGCCCTCCCTAGCACTGTACTTAGTTTCTATTGGGGGTTTTCAGTGGTTGTTGTAGAATAACACAGCTCATATTTATTCATTTTCTTCATTTATACTCTGCCTTCTTCCCCAGTGGGGAGCCAAAGTGGCTTATTTTCTCCTAACAAGCTGGGTTGAGAGTGACCGGCCCCCAAGGTCACTGTGAAAGTTGGGGTCTAAAGGCCGTTTAAGGAGAGGTAGTGAGCTTTCTACACGGTTCGACCAGAGGGGTCTATCCTGCCTTCTACTAAGAGACTGAACCCAAGTGGCCTTCTAAATGCATTTATTACATATAAGACATTAGGCAAACTGGATTTTAAAAAACCCAATAATTTTAATTCACTACAAGGTAGGAGAAATAAGGAGACTCAGTAATGAGGCTTAAAACTGTTTATCGGTAATACACAGCTTTTGCTGGCACATTAAGTTATGACGTTTCAGATGTTAACTCTTGGGTACACAGATCAGCCAAGCCTGTAGTTTTCAGGTGATTATTGTCTTTCCCTCAGCCTCAGGATTCTCACAGTGTAAATGTGAGCTTCTCTCAGAAACAACAAAACATCTGCCGGTTTCCCTCAGAAACCGGGCTCCGAGACATCAGTCTCTTCCTCAAGCATTCACTATGCTAGCCTGCTCTCCTGCAAAAGTCAGACTCTAAGACTTAGATAGTCACCTGAGACAGGTTCTCTCCACTTTAACACTCTGGAGATGCAAACCTTGCTTTCTCTCGGTTCAGACTGATCTGAGCTGGCAGTGTAACAGTTTTTTCTCTCACTCCTCCCTTCCATCTGGCTTCCTTAGCGATCTATGGACCTGGATTGGTTGTTAGCCGCTCTGTACGCACATGCCAAACAGGCATACAGGAGACTGGTGATTGACGTAAAGGAGCAGGACGTCTTGCCTATCAGTCCCAGTCATTCAGCAAGCTTCCATGGTAGAGTGGGGATTCAATTCAAACCTTGGTCCCCCAGATCCTAGCCTGACACTGTAAGCACGATACCACACTGGCTGTCATAAATGCTCCCTCTAAGCTGTGGGGTCTTGTGAGCAAAAATTCTATTTTGTGAGCTACTGTTATAAAAGTTGTGAGTGAGCAATTTGGCTACTGCATAAATTAGTTTGCTCTGGAGCCATCCTTCCTGAGCTAAGACAAAAATGTGTGAGCCGAAGGCCAAAAAACTGTGAGCTAGCTCACACCAACTCAACTTAGAGGGAACACTAGTCATAATGCTTTCATTATATTTAAATATTAGTATGTATACATTTATGTGAATCTTGTGTTTTTTTTCCCCCAGGGCATTGTGCAGCAGTTCTTGGTGTTACTGACCACCAGTTCTGATGAAAGTCTCCAGTTTCTGAGCTTCAGGCTGGATTTCAATGAACATTACAAAGCCAGGGAACCCAGGCTTAGGGTGTCTTTAGGCACTAGGGGGCGACGTGCTTCACACACATAAACCTCTCTGCCGGGGATGTCTCAGGATGGCTGAAGGTTACCTGTTGGCTGGATGTGGCAGTCAAGATCGGCATACTCAAAACCAAATGGCATGCAATGGGGGTTTGTCGTTATTGCAAGCAACCCGTTTTCAGTCTTGTGATTGTGCAGAAAGCAAAAAGGCTCGTTTCACACTGTGTGATGTTTGATATTGCTAAGTGAGCTTAAAACGTTAAAATTTTGCTTATGAACTCATTAACAAATCACTATATTTTTCTGGGGTGCTCTTGAAGCGCATTCTGCGATAATTTATATTTGTCTCCAGGAAATTTATATTCACTTGCAGCATTAAGAAGGGTTCATAATTTCTCATTTCAATTCAGGAACCACTTTTGTTTTAAAACCACCAGAAAAGGATCTAGTCAGCGAATATATTTGTAAAGCAATTTTTCCCCCCGATACCTTTTTTCACAGTTGTGACGTACTTGACAGTGTCTTAAAACAAGTCAGTTAAAAATATGTTCAGTAATATTTAACATTTTCGAAACAATTTATTTTTCCAGAATTTTTTTTTAAACTGCTGCACAGAAACAAACAATAGAGACGCAACAGGAATGAAACATAACTAATACCATTAAAATGAAGTTGGAGCCTCAGCACACTCAAGTAATGGCGTGTGTAAATATGAATAGATGTGAATGAAGTATTTTGTGTTCAAAATCTGGTATATTAGAAATTAATTTAAATAATGAAGACTACTTATTTTTCTTTCCTTGCCTATTTTTCCATTGTACATAGTTATATATTGCTGTCCAGATTTTGGGGAGAAACATTTTTGTAAAGAAGTCACTATATATCAAGTCATAGCCAATTACCATTTGTTATATTCACAGGTAAAATGTGTAGAGAATAAACACGATTATCTTTCAACATTCTCGTCTGCTTCCTCTACCTGCCGTAATTTCAAGATTTAGTTTTCAGTGTTCTTTTTCAAAGTGGAAACTGACCCCAGATGAAGAATGCAAGCACACCCTTAAAAAGGTAAAGGTTCCCTTGCTCGAAAGCCAGTCGAATTCGACTCTAGGGTTGCGGTGCTCATCTCTGTTTCAAAGCCAAAGAGCCAGCGCTGTCCGAAGATGTTTCCGTCGTCATGTGGCCAGCATGACTAAACACCAAGGCGCATGGAACGCTGTTACCTTCCCACTGAAGTGGTACCTATTTATCTACTTGCAATTTCCTGCTTTCGAACTGCTAGGTTGGCAGGAGCTGGAACTAGAGACGGGAGCTCACTCCGTCATGCAGCACACTCAGGTCTCGAACTGCTGAACTGCCATCTTCCACAGCCTGCAGTTCAGCCTCTTAACCACTTGAGCCACCGCAGCTCACCCTTACTTCATAGATTAAGATGCCAGATTAATTACTCCTGAAACCCAGTATTCACAGTACCATCCAAAGGGTTTATGATAACTAAGACCAAAGCTGGTACATCTGGAGATATGTGCAAAGACAAATATGGTCACAGTCCGTAGACATGAAAAGATAGAGCCACAGGAACTGTGTAAAGTGCGCTCAATGTTTCTTTAACGATAGCAATAATGTTATAAATATGAAAATTACAAAAGTGATACTAATACATTCAAATTGTAAATCCAGTTACATAAGATAGAAGTTAACAACGACAGCGGGACGGTGGTCTCCGGAATGCGATGCCGTTTCGACAAACGTCTTCTTCTGACCAAGAATCTATAAGCAGATGATGTGTGGAAAATTGCACATCAATAGAAAAGCTTTATTTCGTCTGAGAGAAATTTTCTCCATTAGTTGTGGAATGAAATAGGTGAAACTGTTATTGAACTCCATGTGAATCGGGTAGCTTTTCTATTGAAGTGCAATTTTCCACACATCATCTACTTATAGATTCTTGGTCAGAAGAAGTTGTTTGTCGAAACGGCATCGTATTCCGGAGACCACCGTCCCACCGTCGTCGTTATCTTATGTAACTGGATTTACAATTTGAATGTATTAGTATCACTTTTGTAATTTTCATATTTATAACATTATTGCTATAGTTAAAGAAACACTGAGCGCACTTTACACAGTTCCTGTGGCTCTATCTCTTCACATCTGGAGATATACCAATGTCCAGCCCTGCAAGCATGATGCTACCACGCTGGTGTTACTGGAATGCCAGCATAGCAGTGGGAGGTGCCAGCCGTTTATGGAGGCACCACTGGACATTCTCTGCTCTCAGCCTCTCCAGCCCCAGGTCTGAGATTGGCATAGTTAGGCAATAAGAGCCCAGTCCTAAGACCCTGGTGGTGGTGGTGGCAGCGGCAGCAGCAGGGGTGTCACTAATCAGCATCTTGTGGCTTATTCCACAGAAGAAAAATAAATGAGTCACTCCTCTTGATGTCACACTTACTGCACCTACAATAGGAGGGCAAGAAGGAAGTGAAGAAAAGAAGGATGGAGGCCCACAGTGACATTCTTCAGGGAGTTCAGCAGATCTGAGTTTGTTCGTTTAGAAAAATTTTATGCCATGAGTCGAAGGAACCTGCTGAGGTGGCTTACAAAATAAAACATATAAAACCCATAAAACTACAATTAAAATTCAGATTTTTTTTAAAAAGCTGCAGTGTAAAAACATAAATAACTGAGCAGTTTAAAATATCAGTTTTCAGAATAAAAGCACATCGTAAAATGCCATTTAGAAAAAAAATCAGCACCTTAATTAAAAAGCCTGGGTGAATCGAAATGTTTTGGCTGATGCCTTCAGTCTAGTTCACTTTTTCCAAGTGGGCAATGCAGACATGGTGGCAACACGGGAGATACGTGTAAGGCTGCTGGAGAATGCCTACTGCTGTAGTGTCAACACCAGCCATAGGTGTGAGGCAGGGGACACTGCAAAGACAGGTACAGCAGAAGGACACCAGGCTAGGTAGCCAATCAACCCTCTGCACACTCAATGTAAGGGTCAGCTGGCTCCTCAAAAAAAGACTGAAATCTCCCGACGTCTCAAAGCTGAGGGAAAGAGCACAAGTGAATTAAGAGTGCTCCTTCTGTTTTGGTACCAGATATCTTGGCTGAGTTACTGACCTCAGATGCAGACATCACCTTCAATTTAGCTGACCTCCAGAACTCCTTTTAAAGTCCGCAGACTCCTCTCTGCTGGGAAGCAGTTCATCTGAAGATTGCCCACTCTGACCCTGCAAAACACAGGCTCAGCCCCTCCCCCCCAGTCTACTTCCATTCAGTTGGTTCAGAAAGACCATTGCTCCTCACCACTGTTGGTTCTACCAAAAATTGCAATCCTAATCCCCGATTTGTCACTCCAAAGAGGTTCTCCTTGATGCCAAGTATCCCATCAATTCCAGTCTCCATATTAATGCAGAGAATCAGTGCAGTATGTCAATTCTCCTTGGTACCAAGATCCTTCTCTACATTATGCCCTTTGATACTGAACATCTTACCAACACTGAGAAATGTCTTAGTATCCATGCGCTTCAAGAGATTCATCCTTTTGCTCCCTTTCCCCTCACTCAGAATGAAGACGTTATGCAGAAGACTGATATTTTTGTCCCATTTCTGCATATATGACTCTGGAGCAATGCCCTTATGAGCATTCTGGCCGCACTGCAGTCTCTGTGTCAACTACCTAATCCTGTCTAGTGCCTACTGGCCAGCAGTCCATTCTGTGTTCAACTACCTTCTATCTGGCAGTACTGACACCATCCACATCACTTGTTCCACCTGTGCATTGGATACCAATAGCTACTGGTTCCATGAGACTTGCTCCACCAACCCATTCCATCACAAGAGTAATGGTCTCAATCCCTCCTCAGAGTCAACACACCAAACAGCTAACTGTACCTCCTCCTTTAAAGGGTACGATAATCTGCTCAGAGGTGAGTAGAGCAGCCTTAGCTCTTCTCTCCAGGGAAGATTAATTCTTGCACTCCCTGACTCTTTGGTACAAGAACTCGTGGGCACTCCATGAAACTGCTGAGCGGTCGGGTTAGAACGGATAAAAGGAAGTACTTCTTCACCCAAAGAGTGATTAACACTTGGAATTCACTGCCACAGGAAGTGGTAGCGGCTACAAGCATGGACGGCTTCAAAAGGGAATTAGATAAGCATATGGAGCAGAGGTCCATCAGTGGCTATTAGCCACAAGGTATAGATAGGGGCTCTGGGGCAAGTGATGCTCTGTCTTCTTGGCGCTTGGGGGGGGGTCAACAGTGAGAGGGCTTCTAATGTCCTGGCCCCAGTGGTGGACCTCCTGATGGCACTGGTATTTCTGGCCACTGTGTGACACAGAGTGTTGGACGGGATGGGCCTTTGGCCTGATCCAACATTGGCGTCTCTTATGTTCTTATGTATGTTCTTATTTCAGAAAAGACTGATTTTCCATGCAATTCTGCCACACCTGCCTTTTGGTCTCCTCTAGGTAGGAACATCTGCATTTCTAAGCTATTGAGTGTCCCTTACAGAGAGAAGTGATTCAAACCCTCTCACTTCTTTCTCTTTCCCCTCTGCCAGCCAGCAAAAGTATCTTTGTAGACTCTGAGCCCAAATAGAGTTCTGATCCAATTATCAGGCCATGAACTTTGGAATAAGACATTTGTTTCACCACAATCATGATGGATCATTGTAGGACTGGGATATGCACTTGTGTTCACTTCTCTTCCTCCCATTCTGTGTTCCAGACATCCCAACTCTTCCCCAACTCATCAGAAGATGAGACTCTCCTCTGCAGAAAGAGGCAATACAACCCGTAACTTGCCTGGGTTTCTACTCTCAGTACTTTTCATCCCAAAGAGAGACAAAGGTCTCTGCTCCATCTCAGAAGCAATGATGAGTTCATCAAAGCCAAAAAGTTCCAGATGGTGACCCTAGTTTCCATGTTCATTCTCTTACAACTAGGAGCTCGGTTCATGTTCCTAAAGGAGGATTGGGGGAGATGAGTAGGCTTTGGGATGGGGTGGGGGACAGAAAAGTTCTGTTCCTCTGGTGAAAGTGTCTTTCTTTAATTGAAAAGTTAATCTGGCTCCAATCCATTACCTCTTAAAACTAAATTTATGGAAGTTTGCATTTCTTCAGTGTTTTTCTTGACAGTTGTTTTGTTACAGTCATATGGCATATATAGTCCAGGAACTCTTATTATAACCTCATACTGAGGACCAGAGTCTGGCAAGCCATCACAGTTTTTTTGTGCTCAGTTGGGGCGATCTCTTACCCTTACGCCAGATAAATGCCTGATCTCTGAAACTGGATCAGTACTCATTAATAGGGATGGGCACAAAGAGTTTGTGATGAATTTTGGACGGTTTGTGCTTCGCAAAGTCAAGTTCTTGACAGGTCAACTGAAACGAACTTTCCCCAAACTTTGAAGCTGTTTGTGGAGGATCGTTGAAGTTCATGATTGGGTACATTTCCAGACAGTCTCCGCTCAGTCAAGATGTTTATCAAACTTCAAAGCAAAATTTGAAGCAAAGGGAGGTGGAAGTTTCCCTGTCAGTTTGGTGTCACTGGCTTGTTTCTGAGCTGTTCCATAGACTCCTGTAACTTCAGCAATACAAGCAAAAGAGGACTCTTATCTAACCACAGAGTCCCTGCAGTACAAACTGAAGGGGGCATTTGTTCAAGTCCAGTACAACCAGTTAAGTGTGCAGAATGCCCAGCAGAATCCAGCACCACTGTGGCAATACAAGCATAAAAGGACTGATCAATCTATAAGCACATTGTCACAAGAAATCCAAGTGTGTGTGTGTGTTGGGATTCTGCAAGTCCAGCGCAATCAGTTCAGTG